GAATTGAACAAATTTAAATCTACACTACCTGAGGATGCTTCCATATTAACATGACTAATCATTGCTTAGTTTTTCTTGAGTATAAAATTTAAAAAAAAATCCTATACATTCCTATGTAAAACTTTGATTGCCCATTGTGGTACCCCTCCCTCTGGGGCTAATTATTTGATAAACTTTAATCTACACTACATGAAGATGCTTCCATATAAATATGACTTATCGCTCTGAGAAAAAGATTTTTTAAAGATTTTTTCTTAATATTCCTATGTAAAATTTTGATCACCCATTGTGGCCCAGCCCTTCCTTCCAGGGTCAAGATTCTGAATCTACACTACCTGAAGTTGCTTCCATGCACATATGAATAATCATGGCTTTGCTGTTCTTGAGAAGAAGATTTTTAAAGATTTTTCCTTTGTATTCCTATGTAAAAATTTGATTGCCCATTGTAGCCCCATCCTAACCCCAGGGGGTCATAATTTGAACAAACTGAATCTGCACTACCTGAGGATGCTTTCATATAAATATGACCAATCAAGCCTTGCAGTTCTTGAGAAGATTTTAAAAGACTTCATCCTATATATTTCCATGTAAACTTTGATCCTCGTCTGTGGCCCCATCCAACCCTCAGGGGGCATGATTTGAACATATTTGAATCTACATGTCAGGAAGTTTTCAAAGAAGTTTAAACTTTTTTGGCTCAGTGGTTCTTGAGAAGAAGAATTTTAATTGCCACCACCTTATTTTTGCCTTTTTTTTAATTTATCTCCCCTTGGAAGGGGCACCCCTTCATTTAAACAAACTTGAATCCCCTTCACCCAAGGATACTCTGAGGCAAGTTTGATTGAAACTGGTCCAGCAGCTCTTGAGATGAAGTTGAAAATGTGAAAATTTAGGTATGAAACACAACTGCATGACAACAGAAAAAAAAAACCCAGATACCAATAGGTCACCTTAGTGACTCAGATGACCTAAAAAAAATGTGTATTCCCATCTCTTGATGCAACAATTTTTAATAAGATTACCCTAAATTTGTGGTGATTACCTCCCACTTAGGTTTTTTTTTTTAAAACTTGGTCACTTTTTAAGTTTTATGACATGGTTTTAAGCTGCAGTTCACAATTCTCTACAGATGCACTGACAAAGTTTCTTTATTCTAGGTCTAACTCTACATGAGCACCAAAAAGCTTTTGACATATTTTTGCATATCATTTCAATTAATTTTAATACAAGGTCACCAGTGACCTTAAGGTAGGGTGAGACACACCTTCTACCAAAGATGCAACTGAAAATTTAAAGCCAAAAACTTTTCCAGTTATGAGCCTGACAGGGTTTTACCATATTTGCCATTTTATCTTGATTAAAGATTATAGTGACCTAACTTAAATGTGTGAAACACCATCTACCCAAGATGCATAAGTTGACAAAGTTGGATGATTCTAAGCCTTATAGTATAGTACTTAAGTTAAAATTATAAAATCCAAAACAAAATGACAGAGTCCATAAATTTAAAAAAAAAAAAAAAAAGTAAAATGAAGAAAAATTGTCCAATCAAATTTAAATCCATGTACCAGGTGCACATCTTCATTTGGTGAATAAAGAGTGCATGAATTTTTAGACAAATCCAAGCAGTCTTAAATCATGTTCAGAAAAAAATCTTTTCTAGTCTACAGACATGCAGATGGAAGGTCATGCCAATTCTAACATACCCCCCTCCTCCAAAAAAAACTTTGTTTGCAGGGGTATAATTAGACATTCAAAATATTTACATCCATTGCTCCCCATACTTGTATATATGAAACACTAGAACAATATAAGTGATTGTAGTTAATATCAAGGGAAAATAAAGAATTTCTTCATTTGAAGTTTGGTTATTGCAGCTTCTCAAGATTATTATCCATAAGAGGGTCTTCCTTTTGGCAGAATTGACATTCAATTAACAACGGGCTTCTTACATTTATAAGCCAACACTTCTTATTCAAAGTACAAGTTTGACAACAGTGTTTCTTTTCCCATTGAGGAGCTCATGTTTCAAAGTCCTTTTAGCTGGCTATCAAATCTATTCACAAGGAATATTTGGGAGGAACTGTTAATGAATCACAAGCATCTCTTGATTTAAAACCAGTTAAACAGGGGTCTACACCTACATGCATTGTACATTTCATGGTTCATAAACTTTTCAAAGTTTATGTAGGAGTTCAATAGACGGTAAAAATAGGTAACTTTATGGTTTATCACAGATAAAAGTAGTAACTAAACATTTCACACTTAACAAAAAGGGGTCTAATATTCAACTAAAATTATTACAAAATAGAAATCAAAACTTTGTTTTAATTAAATGTTTGGCCACAAGACACCTGTGTTTCTAGATTTGCAAGGTACATGTATTATATTTCATCCAAAACAGCAACTCCTGTTAGCATAATAATTACACTGCAGCAGAGCAGGGCATTATTGGACTCTGTTTTGTGTGTGGATATAAATGGACACATTAAGAACTAGATACATTCAAGCTGATTTATTCTAGGTTAAAAGTTTATTTCTTCTTGAAATCCTCAATCAAGACAAGATGTACAACATTTGCAATCCAGCTGTGATTAGGGACTTAAATAAAGATGCTACACACATAATACCTAATCTACTGTCTAGGATACTCCTCCATCTCCTCCATCAATGTGTATAATCATCTCTTTGTAAGCTTTACATGAACAGATCTTGTATGACATAATAAGATAAGACTTTAATTCCAAATTGAACATGCAAATTTGCATGTTCATGAATAACATAAGTTACAAAATTAACCAATAAACATAATTAAATGATAATTTTATTTGTTTGTTTCCTCTATATCCCTTTAAGAATTGTTCACATATATTGGGACACCAACCACTGCTGGTGGACCATGGAAGGCTGCAAATTTAGAACTGTACTTGGCACTTATGGCCATTGAGAACTCAGAAGTGAGGGATCTTTTTTTTTGTGCCAGCATTTACTGTGACATGGGACCTCGGTCTATATGGTGTCATGTGAGGGACTGGTCTACATGGCCCACACAGGGATTCAAATGGTACCATAAGGATAAAATCCTTACTCCGCAACTCTGGAACAAAACACTCAACCAGTGCTCCACAAGGGCTACTTTAAGCCTTAACAATAGTAAAGTTACCATATTTAATCTTGGTGTTTGTAATATCACTTCTTAAAATAAAATAGTCTAAATAAACATGTATTTAAAAAAAAACAATTGCAAGTATTACACACCAAATGTTACTATGCTATGGTATGATCAATTCTTAATAAATTGAGGCAAGCTGCTGACAAAAATATTGATCTTACAAGGACTTCAACAGCCACATTTAAAGTCAGCTTTTCACAAATTCTATGATTGCTATAATGTCCTTGTTTATAAAAACCACCTACCATTGGGTTGAATTTTGTCTGACATGATGGATACCATTTGTTAGGTCATCGCTTTTATACTAAATTTGACTATGGTTTACTCTGAATACCTGATTAATACTTAGGGCTCACAGAAGGCATGACTGGTGGTCAACAGGGGGTGCTTACTCTTCCTAGGCACCTGATCTGGCCTCTGGTGTTTCCAGGGGTCCGTGTTTATGCCGTGTTCACGATTCGTTTAGTATACTGGATTTATGAGATTGCTCACTGTTCGTTATCTTCACATTTTACATAGGTACACATAATTCAATGAAATTTGAAAATGGTAAATTATATCTGCAAAAGATGTAAAAGGAGTAACAATTTCATTTAAAACCCAACCATCATGACCATTAGGACATTTATTTCATCAATTTATAAATTATAAGCAAACACTGCTTTATATACATGTGAAAAAGAAAAATTATCTGTAACAAATGAAAAGCAAAATTTTAAAAGCACATGAAGAAATTATTTTCATGTTGGGTTTTTCAAGTTAAGTGAAAGTAGTATTGAAGCCAAATTTAGTTTAATGGATACAAGCCAAATCTATTCAATAATCCTGCAAATCTTCGGACATACACATGAGTCATCAGAATCTATACTGGAGTCAAATTGTGTGAAATATGAAATGTTTACTTGATAAAAACTATTATAAAATAGACAAACATGTTTAAAACATTAAAATTCCCTTAACAGTAGATGAGAGAAATACAGATACTTCACACAGTCACTATCCTGCATGTTCCTATTGATTTAGCAGTTGATTATAAGGGTGAGACTGTAATAAATTATGAAATACAAAGGAGTAATTTTAATGGCATTAAAGACAATGACTACAAAGGAACATTAATTAAACAAGTCTCAACAAGTGAAATAAAAAGGCTACGTTTGTTTCCTAGGGAATCTAACTGAGCCACTTCAATATTGCCCCATACTGATTGATTTCTTTTAAAACAAAATTTGCTTAATTTCCAGTGGAAATTGATTTAAATTAAATTGATTTCATTTTTTTAATCTGAATAAATTATCAAAAAAAGTTTGTAATATAAAGACATTTTAAAATCTATTTATCATGAGGCTTGCTTGGTGACAGCTTCACTTTATACCTCTGATAGTCTCTGTCAATGATGACAATAACACTGAATTGATTATATGGTTAATTTTGGTTGAAATAAAGTTTGAAGTAAATAAAACTTCAAAATTAACTCCAACCCACTGACCTACTAAATATTCTCTTCTGAGAAGTGGACAGGCAATTCACATATTTTACATGTAGGCTTAGCCTATACATTGGCTATGTCTGTCCACTTCTCTAAAGAGAATATTCGTAACTGTGTTATATTGTACATGGATCTAACATATTTTACTTTCTTTGTGCCTCATATCAAAATATACTGAGTAGATACCAATTACTGTATACAACAATCAATTTAACAATGTAGGGCTTATACAAAAGCTACAGATTTTGACATGCATTGAAATGTAGCAGCAATATTGTGAAGAAATTTTTCCCAATATATCACAGAAGCCCTACATTGCATCTTTTTAAGCCTGTATTTTACCTTGTGCTTTGTTCTGAAAAGTTTCCTCCCTCCAAGAGCCGAATTTTGGCAAAGAGCAATCCACTAATGAATGGAACTGAAGACAACTCTTCAAGTCTAAAGTTAACATTAAACTTGAACCTCTTTTTCTTCATAATGAATAAAGACATCATTTTTGAAATGAGAGTCATGTCATACTGATATTGTGGGAATTCCCAACTTCAGATTAATTTCTGAAAAGTTACATTATTAAATTCCATAAAGAAAAACTCCTACACTACTATGAAAAATTTCAATTGATAGGTAAACTGATCGATAAATCCATCATTGGAATTTTCACAGGAAAGATGACTTGCGAGCTGATGTGGATTTGAATGTTAATATACAATTAATGGATATTTCAGACAGAGCAGTGCAAAAGCATATCCAAAACACACAGATTACATCCTATACACTCTATATGTTAAAATACTGATTCCGATTTAGGTCACCATCCCATATAACTTGTTTGATCAACTGTTACTCCTGTGCTGTGCAAGCACTTGCCAGCAACTCCTCATGCACCTGCGCACTTCTGCTTCATTTTCAACTTCCGGTTTCCGGTGTAAACAAAGTCGGAGGATGTTGAGGGCAACTTTAGCTCAAAGTTTAAAAAGTTAACCTTAGTCATTGATTGACACAATTCAATTTTAAGATACTTGACGTAACATTATGTTTCAATGAAGATTCAAAGGTGCATAATGTGCTGTCATAATAGAACAGACGATCTTGTTGAACTTGAAAATACCGAAGTACGATACTGCTGGGTTACATGTAATTTTGAATGAATGTTAAAGTGGGTCAGTGCGTCCGTCTGTCTTTATGTCATTCTGTCTATTTATAGCACCTTAGTTTCTAGATGATATGTCTGAAAGTCTTTTAGCTTTTGCAATATTCTTTTTTCTAATCATAATTTTGTATTGCTAAAAGAAGACCCCTATTAATTTTGAGATTAAAAGATCAACGGTCAAGGACAAAATTTCAAGTATTGCATAAATTGGTTTCAGAATGACCACTTAAATTCTCTTTAAGCCTTTGCAAAGAAATGTTAGGCAACGACTCTCTTTCTTTCATCTTTTGGAAGACCTGTTGATTTTGAGACCAAAAGGTCAAGGTCACAAATTTCATATAAGGTGTTAAATGGTTTCCAGATTTACTTTAATATTGTAGCTAAAAAGACCCCTTTTGCATTTAGGTGAAAGGTCATGGTCACAAACTAGTATATTTACACAAATTGTTTCCAGAAAACATCTAAAATAAACTTCTGTCCTTAAGCGGAGGACATAATTTCCCTGAATTAGCTTGGTTTTAAAGATTAAAAATGTATTCTTAGTGAGTTATTTATAATTACTAGATTAAAAGATTTTTATTGAATTTCCCTTTGTTTTGTAATTCGTATTTATGAAAATTTGACCTTCATATGTGGCCACCCAATTCTAGGGTCAAAATTTGAACAAACTTGAAACTACACTTCATTAAAACACTTGCTTTTCAATATGATTATTTCCTTCTAAGACTCAACTGCCACTCCATTCTAGCCCCATGGGTAATTTTCTGAATGAACTTGAATGCATACTAAATAAGAAATATTTCATGAAAGTTTTGTCTTTTGTGATTTTTGAGAAAAAGATTTTAAGTGACCCAACCATATGTTCACTGTTGCTTAATAGCTATTTATCCAAGAAAGAGACTTTGGTTCTTTATTTGAATAAACTTGAATCCCTCTTACCCATGGATGCTTTACATAGGATAAGTAGTTGAAAATTGTGAAAAATTTTATGCTTTTATCCATTGATTTCAAGAAAACCTTCTACAGTAATTCTAGAGTAAAGTTACTTTTAAATTAAATGATTTTATGGATATCATAAAAGTGATGAAACCTGTTCTGTTAGAATTAAAGGTAATTTGTTTTGAAAAAGTTTTAAGAAGCACAATTTTACAAAATTTACAAATTGGTGATTTCAGTCAAGAAATCTTCAAATAACATCCAAATCCAACATTTTCTATAATAAAGAAAGGAACGTAACATAAAAAGCTGGTGATGATGATCATGATCTTCACAGTGATTTTCTATGTCTGGAGATGAGCACTGCTTTTTCTTGAAAGTGCTCTTTCTTGAACTCAGTGACACAGAGAAAAAAATTTGAGATATCTAAGGAATTGAGATATCAAGTTTAAATACAGATATAAAAAGTGGTTTGGACTTTCAACTTGCATTGACATATCCAAGGTACATGTATTTGAGATATTGGTAATAGAGATACTAAAGTTTAACTGTATTTTAAAACTTTCAGTCTGGTTGCTGAGGAATAAAAGAGGATGAAGTTCTATGTGCATGCAGAAGATCCACCATTCACCATGGTTATTAGATGGAATGAAAATGACGACAAATGTATGCAGAATCTTGTAGATGTAAGACTTTGACATATTGTATTTAGAAGATTGAAAGGTTAACCATAACCAGGTCTTACCCAATACGAGAGTGGAGTGTTTTAAAATCTTATTTTTAAAGAATTATATGTTCATTTAAAAGTTATCTGAATCAAGGATCTTTCCTAAACATGACCAATTTTACTACCAAAGATTAAATTGGCTTTTCATTACTCAGTGCATGACTTTGTTTCAAACACTCTCTATGTTATGCAGTATATCCTTGGTAATTTTAGATTTTATTTTTGTGCAAACAGTCACAAAATATATATGTATTGGAAACAAATCAAATGAATCACAATGTTATAGTAAGTCTAGATAATGTTTAAGGTGTTGGTCATGATCAGTGCATTACAGCTACATGTTGTTAACTTCAATACATTGCAGATTTTCTGGAGCAATTTCAAATCAAAATACCCAGATGTGGAGGAAACAATTGATAAATCAACAGTTGAAGTATGGAAAGGGTAGGGATAAAATTTAAAAGTTGCAAATGTGAAGATATTTTGATTATCTGTGATGAAATTTCTTTGGCCATGAAAAGAAAAAGTTACACAAATCATGCACGGATCCAGGATTTTTTCCACACAAACTCAAACAAATGTTAGACTTTTTGACAATTTTTTTTTTAAAAAGTAAACAATTTGCATTTGCCCTTACTTGAAAAATCTATTTAAAGAGGGGGGGGGGGGGGGGGGACAAGGAGGACACATCAATTTCTTAAGTGTATAGTATAAGTCTATTTACTTCAGATACATGACTCTCCTTATGATCTTTATGAGTAGGGATCCATGTTTCCTAGGAAAGGGAAGTGTTCCAATTTCATTTTCTTCTTACTTTACATAGAAATTTAATATAAACTCTGAAAATCACAGAAGGGGTCCGGACCCTCCACACTCTCTAGATCCATGCATGTCTTGTTTATGAAAATACTAATGGTATCTTTACGTTTTAGGAGGAAGTCATTAGACTTGACTAGCAAAGTTTTGGAAAAGGTGAAGAATATGGATGACATATATATAAAGTGGATGACAAAACCACATGGTAAGATTTATATTGAATATTTCTGAAGGCTTTTAAAAGCATGCAGAAACCATTACTATCTTCATGTCATTAGTATAATCTTTGTACATGTACATGTATATGCAAGATAAATAAAGAAGTCAACATTTAAGAATATTTATTCTTTTGAAACTGTTTTTTTAATTGTAATCTGAACCTAAATATATGAGCATGTGTTAATGTAGCATATATTTTTTTTTTTCTCAAGAGAAAGACAAGAGAGAACAAAATGTAGAGAACTTGCCATCAGAAACCGTTGAACCATCAAGTAGGGAGAATTCAATAAATGCAGATAATGTATCTGAAAAGGACCACTCCTTAAATAAAATGGATTCTTTGTACTCGGTGAAAGATTTACTAGAATTAGCTACCGCCTTGTCTTCCAAAGGCCGAATTCAGCATGCCATTGTTTTAAACACTGATATCCTTAAGAAAGAACCTAACAATCAATCAGCTATCAATGGCATTGGTAAGGCTAATTTATGTATTGCAGTAGGGTAAAACATCTTTCTAGCAACTGTCTATTGTCGTACATGAAAACACTTTATAGCAACTATTGCAGTACAGTACAACACATATATAGCAACTGTGTATTGCAGTACAGTAAAAAGCAAATCTGCATAGTGAATATCTGTTCAGAAGTGAACAATCCATAACATAATGAATCATTCACCAAGTATATTATACTGTCTTCAGCATTTGACTATATTCTTTTTTAAGCTGACTGCTATCTGCAGGCTGGGAGACCCAATAAAGCACTATCATATTTAAAACAAGGACAGAAAGTAAATGACACAACTTTCAGGTAAGATTTTTTTTTTAAATTGGTTGTTGATTTCTGCAATGTGTCATAATGCTACTGAGCTTATATAACACTAATGACTATTATAGAAATAGATTTAACCAATGGTAAATTATGAAGTAATATACAATGTTTTAGACTTGGACAATGCTACGTTAAGCTGGGGGAGTTTGATAAGGCTATAGAAACATTGATGGGGTATTGTAAGGAATTGCGGAATAGAGGGGGGACTTCAGCAGCTCATAAACAGGATGTCCAGGTAAACAAGGCATTTCAGTTATCATAGATTCACAAAAATATGTAAACTTACCAAAGAGAATTGATGAGAATGACATCCTAAATACTCATGCATTACTAATTTTGCATTGAGTGATGATTCTGTACAAATCAATGAGAAAAGTCAAACAAATTTTCACTTTCAATATGCTTGAATGTTTTTCCTCATCTTGTTGAATCTCTGTGATGTATTCCAGGTATGGCTTGCAAGAGGATATGTTGGGAAAGGGCAAACAGATATGGCTCTAGTAGTTTTACAGGTAATATACAAGAAAACATATTTCCATGTGTAGTTGGTCATGTTGGTTGCTAGATAAAGTATCTTTAATTTGCACGTATATTTTATAAGAACCTTCTTTATGTAACTGACTTGATGAAGCCATTGCTATATCTCCAATGGCAGTGCTCCAGTTTCACATTTTTGAGCAGGTCCATTCCAAAGTAACTGAAAGTCCTTTCTAGACCAAACTTGCATGGATGATGTTTATCTACCAGCCATGCTTTGGATTCTTCCTATGATCTACATTTCTAGAATAGTTGAAGTTTTCAGAGCAGATCTATTCCCAAGTAATAATAATTCATCCATGTATTTATTATCTTGATAAATAGCCAGTTTAATTAAAGTTTTTGGAGCAAGTCCTTTTCAAAAAAAGTAAAATCCATACCTTGACCAAACTAGCATAGATATTTCATCTAAAAATACATAAATACATGTACTTTCTTCATGGTGTTACGGGTGACATGTATTTTGTTCTTTAATGAAAGGCTTATAATGATGAAATGAGCTTACTAAACATTCATTTGACATTCATGAGGCTTTGCCTTACTTATAAATGACATTAAGTGGTTTTTGTAATCTTTGATTACCAGTGTTTTCCTTTATTCTTCAGTGCTTTTATAAATACATGTACAATTTTAAATATTTATCTAGGATTTTGTCAAGGTGGGCTGGTTATCTATTTGAATTTTGTTTCCTCTGTGGTCATTTCTTTATATACAGGTATTTTGTTTTCTCTGTGGTGATTTCTTCATATACAGGTATTTTGTTTTCTCTGTGGTGATTTCTTCATATACAGGTATTTTGTTTTCTCTGTAGTGATTTCTTCATACAGGTATTTTGTTTCCTGTGTGGTGATTTCTTCATATACAGGTATTTTGTTTCCTGTGTGGTCATTTCTTCATATACAGGTATTTTGTTTTTTGTGTGGTGATTTCTTCATATACAGGTATTTTGTTTCCTCTGTGGTTATTTCTTCATATACAGGTATTTTGTTTCCTCTGTGGTGATTTCTTCATATACAGGTATTTTGTTTCCTGTGTGGTCATTTCTTCAAACACGGGTATTTTGTTTTCTCTGTGGTGATTTCTTCATATACAGGTATTTTGTTTTCTCTGTGGTGATTATTTTGTTTTCTGTGTGGTGATTTCTTCATATACAGGTATTTTGTTTCCTCTGTGGTGATTTCTTCATATACAGGTATTTTGTTTCCTCTGTGGTGATTTTTTTTGTTTTCTCTGTGGTGATTTCTTCATATACAGGTATTTTGTTTCCTGTGTTGTGATTTCTTCATATACAGGTATTTTGTTTTCTCTGTGGTGATTTCTTCATATACAGGTATTTTGTTTCTTGTGTTGTGATTTTTTCATATACAGATAGTTTGTTTCCTGTCTGATGATTTCTTCATATACAGGTATTTTGTTTCCTGTGTGGTGATTTCTTCATATACAGGTATTTTGTTTCCTCTGTGGTGATGTCTTCACACAGGTATTTTGTTTCCTCTGTGGTGATTTCTTCATATACAGGTATTTTGTTTCCTCTGTGGTGATTATTTTGTTTTCTCTGTGGTGATTTCTTTATATACAGGTATTTTGTTTTCTCTGTGGTGATTTCTTCATACACAGGTATTTTGTTTCCTGTGTGGTGATTTCTTCATATACAGGTATTTTGTTTTCTTTGTGGTGATTTCTTCATATACAGGTACTTTGTTTCCTGTGTGGCGATTTCTTCATATACAGGTATTTTGTTTCCTGTGTGGTCATTTCTTCATACACAGGTATTTTGTTTTCTGTGTGGTGATTTCTTCATACACAAGAATTTTGCAGGGTGTATTGAGGGAAAACCAGGAACACTTGGATGCCTTGACAGAGTATGCTCCCCTGATTTTTCCTCTGGGTCCTAAACAAAAGGAGGAAGCCATGACCATCATGCTGACAGTGCTAGTCAACAAACGAGGTAAGTAGTGGACAGAAAGGGAGATAAATCTCAAATTTGTAATCCATGAAATAATTAAAATTCATCACCTGATTTGGAGACACGAAGGGGTTTGTTTATCTTTATTGTAGATGATAATTATGTGAAAGAAAAATTTGCCTATTTATGTCAACAAGAACATGGAATGCAGGTGTTAGAGAGGTATGTGAAAAGTTGTCATCATTTCTGCTGCTTATACACAGTATAATATATGTAAAAGCTAATATCTAAATACATGTAGCTATAAAAGACAATTATTCTGGTAGAAATTCATTTTGATGCATCACTTGACAGGAAAACACCTAATGCTTAGCAAATTGGAGAAATACTTATACACAACATCCCTTATTGAGATATTCTATTCACACTATGCATTTCTCAGTATCTGTATCCTTGCTACCTTTCATAACAGTTAGCACTTTTTACTAAGTAAAAACCTATTCGTTACTTCTCACTGAAGCATGTCAGGTCAAGCTTGGAGGGATGTCCCAGCTGTTGTTTTTATGGCAACTAGCCTCCGGGATGTTGGAGGTGAGAACCATTCTCAAATTCTGAAAGTAACATGCATCAGAGTTTTCCATACTGTACCACTCTCTATCAGAATGTTATCTTACTCATGTTTGATTACTTGTTCCCTACAGCCATTGAGCATGCTGAAGCATTATTGAAGCATGCTTATATGCTGCAGCCAGAAAATCCACACACATTGTTAACTTACGTTCATACTCTAGAGGTGAGGATGCTTCCTTCAGTTTCAACAAAATATCTTTACTCGGCAAGGCTGATCATAAAAATCACATAATAGGCTTTTGTTTGATGTATTCAATCTGATACCCAGAATTGGAATGCAATTTCTAACAAACAGATCTAACGAATTCAATTTGTAATCCATAATTACATGTATGATAAGTATCAATTTTAAAATCCAACTATTAATTACTAATGTTATTGTGTGAATGTAGGTACAAGATGCTGCTGCTTTTTAATGTCTGATTCTTTAAAATTTAGCTGGTAGAAAAACATACAGAAGCCGTCCAAGAAATTGTTACCTTTATAACTCGTTGGCCAGATAAAGAAATAGGGAACTTCAAGATTGGAGCCCTTCTGCCAATCATGAAGCACTTCCACGGTGATGTATACCTTAATGGTAAATACAAGACTGATTTTCTTTATGTGCTTATTCATACAATAAGATTTAGTATACAAATGTAAGAAAATATTCATTTGTTAGAATTATGTATATAACAGTACATGTACAACTGCTTTATGTGTAACTTACACATATATTTTGCAAAGGAAAAGTAATAATACACATGATACACTTGTATTATTTTTATAGATTATACACATCAATTGACATCATTGATGGCTTCAATAAAGTATAATACTGTAAAATAATACTGTGATATTAATAGTGTTTAATCCATACAAATAAATTTAATTGTTATATAGCTAATAAATAGTCTATAATAAAAACTACTAAAAGTCTAGAGAATTTTAGCATTCAGTATCTTGGTGTTTTATTGAACGCTTAGTTTGTATTATGTAAATGAGTATACCCGAAACATTCAGAATACGAGCCTTCAATATTGAACACCCCTCTGTAAACAAAAATGTCGTCTGGTCAATCTTGCAAAGGCAAATTTATGATAGATAGTGGCAGCTAGGTAAGATGTGTTTATTTTCACACAAAATTGAAATTATTAATCAATAATTTAGTATGTATTAGCTTCAATAAAACCTCATTAAGTAAATCATAACGCTTGGTAGGGTCATTAGAATGTTGTGATATTTAACATTTATAGGACAGACGTTAATTTAAATACCGATACTGAAAAATTCTCATTAATTTGAGATATTTGATTGAAATAATTAATATAAATCAATGGGAGATGTTGTAGCTATATAATAAAGGAGTTATTGAACTTATATTGGTGAATATTGGCACTCGTTGGCTGTACAAATTGAACTTATATTGATGAATTTTGGCACGAGTTGGCTGTACAAATGCATGAGCTTGTGAGTGCATTTGTACAGCCAACTCGTGCCAATATTCATCAATATAAGCTCAATAACCCTATAGTATTAAACTGATATTTTTCATGAAATAACTTTGGCTATTTATGAATAGCTTCCATTACTTAGTTCCAGAAACAGATTTGCCCAGTAATTCAGTTTCCATAGTAACTAATTCTGAGCCTTATCCTGAGGATGTGAACTATCTACTGGCAGTTATTTTTACTCTGGTCAAGATCCTGTTCATCAAAGGAGCTTTAGCCTTCATAAAACCCATCACTAGTTTGATAGGTAATGTTGATCATTAGTGTTATAAAACCCATCACTAGTTTGATAGGTAATGTTGATCATAGGTTCAAATTCAATCAATAAATCAACCTTCATTACAAATTAGAATGTGCTCTGTCCATGCACAACTAATTACTCTATTCTATTTAATGGAATTGTTTGAAAAAATCGTTATTATCCATCTTTCATAAAATATTTATTTTTTTAAGGTCTATTTTTTTTTTCAAAGAAAGATACATGTATAAAATAAATAGGTGTCCTTGATTTATAAATATGCATTCTAATATTTCAGATCCACTAACAAAGGGACATGAACTCCACAAAACAAACATAAGAAATGAAGCTGCTTACTTCTCCTGTATTAACCAGGTAAGCTTTAAACAGCAAAATTCTTTCAATATTTATTGCACAGATAATGGGAGAATATTCTACCACGCCACATTTACCCTAAGTTGCAGGAAGTGAGAGTCAAGGTCAACCATGTAGTTTCCCGAGATCATTATGTATACTTTATAGGAGACAGCCATTGTGTTCCACCAGCATGGCAGCCCATACAGTTCAAGGTAGGTTTATTAATGTGTTCGATGAAAGTTCAGTCACATGTTCATGCTAATCTTATACAACAGATTTTTTTTAAATCAAGTTATTGAGGTTTATTTTTATGTGTTTAAAAAAAAATCAGGGAGAAGACAAGATTATCCACCCAATCTTGTCCACTGGGACAAAAATCTGGCATCTACGAGAGGAGAGCACATTTTATCCTAAACACAACTTTAATTCAGCAATAAGCAATATTCCCGATGGTGCAACTACAGTGTTTTGTTTTGGAGAGATCGACTGCAGAGAAGCTCTACTGCTATGTGTGGAAAAAGCCAAATATGACGTAAACATATTTTTGTTACTATCAGGGTACCAAGTGTACTTTGTCCTTATTCATAACCTTGACATAAAAGTGAGGTAATGTCCTTATCACATGTAGTGTCCTGATGTTTAGTTTACAATGTGAAAAATGAATATTACAATGTAGTTTAAATATTAAACAGTTTGTATCACTACAAAATTGACCTATAAGTAAAACAGTGTGTGTTTGTAATACCAGTTCTATTCCCGTTAATCTTACAAACAAAATAAGGGAATCTGTTACATGTATAGAAAGATGAATATCAAGTCTAGAATATTTTTGATAAAATCAGTAACTTCGGCTTAAAGAATTCAATTCTTTTTTTTCCATGACTCATCACTTATACTTGTATCTTGAAGTATTTTAAAAGTCTTCAAAAATAAGCATATTAAAGATATTTTTCAAAAAATAAATAATCAGATCCACATAAAAATTTCGCTGGATTGATAAAACTTTTGTTCACCCTAAATTTTAGAGTTTGGAGGAAGGAATGGACAGGGTGATAGAAATTTACATTGATCTGTTGACAAGGTTACAGAGTCTCCATCACTGGGACGTTTATGTACACCCGGTGTTACCAGTACTAGATCTAACCAGGTAAGTGTGGTCACTGAGACATATATGTACACCCATGTTACCTGTACTAGATCTAACCAGGTAAGTGTGGTCACTGAGACATATATGTACACCCATGTTACCTGTACTAGATTTAACCAGGTAAGTGTGGTCACTGAGACATATAAGTACACCTGGTGTTACCTGTACTAGATTTAACCAGGTAAGTGTGGTCACTGAGACATATATGTATACCCATGTTACCTGTACTAGATCTAACCATGTAAGTGTGGTCACTAAGACATATATGTATACCCATTTTACCTGCACTAGATCTAACCAGGTAAGTGTGGTCACTGAGACATATAAGTACACCTGGTGTTACCTGTACTAGATTTAACCAGGTAAGTGTGGTCACTGAGACATATATGTATACCCATGTTACCTGTACTAGATCTAACCATGTAAGTGTGGTCACTGAGACATATATGTATACCCATGTTACCTGCACTAGATCTAACCAGGTAAGTGTGGTCACTGAGACATATATGTACACCAGTATTACCTGTACTAAATCTAACCAGGTAAGTGTGGTCACTGAGACATATATGTATACCCATGTTACCTGTACTAGATCTAACCAAGTAAGTGTGGTCACTGAGACATATATGTATACCCATGTTACCTGCACTAGATCTAACCAGGTAAGTGTGGTCACTGAGACATATATGTACACCAGTATTACCTGTACTAAATCTAACCAGGTTAGTGTGATCACTGAGACATATATGTGTTACCTGTACTAGATCTAGCCAGGTAAGTGTGGTAATAAGAGTTATGACCAGGTTAAGTTTTACCAATAGTGATCATGCTTTTATTTATTAACACTACTTTTACTTTCTGTTTACACTATTTTTAAATTCCATTTACACTTTCTTTACTTTCTGTTTACACTATCTTTACATTAAGTTTACACTATCTTTACTTTCTGTTAACACTATCTTTAGTTTACACTATCTTTACTTTCTGTTTACACTATCTTTACATTAAGTTTACACTATCTTTACTTTCTGTTAACACTATCTTTAAATTCCATTTACACTATCTTTAGGGATGTTGTTATGCAGTTTAACCAGAGAATGATGAAAAAATTGTCCAAGACCAGTTTGAAATGGCTAGATTTTGTGGACAGTCTGCTGACTAAGGAAAATGGAGACTTAAAGCTAAAGAAGCAGTATGGTTAGTTTTGGAAGAGAGAAATTCAATGTCCAAACTCATCAATGAGCGAAAACTTAAATATGAACTGCAAATGCTAACTACTGATTTCTGTCTACATTTTACACGCTCATAATTCAGCAAGTTTGAAATATTTGCTATTAAATCTTTTTGTTGAATGCAAAGTTGACTTCATAGATAAATGACTGATAGCACTAACACCAGTTTAATTAACTGATTGCTGTTAAATACAACTCTTTCTGATAAGAGGAAGGGAGGAGGGTTAAATTTTTTCCATTGAAATAGGTCTTTAAAATTTAACCTGATTTTGAATTATTCATGGATTTTAATAAATGGCCTTTTAATCTTTCCGGTCAAAATATATCTGAGTCATTAAGTAAAAGTGTATAGTTGTATATTATTTGAAAATGGTCATAAAATGATGAAATAAGCATTTTTGGTGTATTTTGGTTTGTAACCCCCCCTCCCCCCCCCCCCCCCCCCCCCACACACACACACACACAAACACACCCTCACTCACACACACACACACCGTGAAGTAACAAGGGATAATTTGAAAAAAATAATTAAAGAAACAGATGAAACTTTGTTAGAAATATTTATAAAAACTATATGAAATATTTTTATTTTGTAGTGTTTGATGGTACACATGTCCATCCTTGTTACCTGGAAGTTTTACAGAAATCTCTACAGAAATGGGTCTGACCTGTTTCCTGGAAGTTTTACAGAAATCTCTACAGAGAAGGACCTGACCTGTTACCTGGCAGTACTAGGGAAATCCTCTATAGCAATGGGTCTGACTTGAAGTTTTAAGAGAAATGGTCTGACTTGCGTGGTGAGATGGAAAATCCTCAGATCTGTTGAAGAAGGGAATGAAGTCCCATTGTATCTTACCTGATATGTGAAATCCTTGCATGTTTATTTAATCAATTTTAAAGTGTAAGGGACATTTTATTTATAAACCTTTAACAATAGGTTGTGCCATATACATATCCCTCTGAAGGATTAGTACCAGTATTTTATCTAGCAATCCTAATTAAGGTCTTCCTAATGTACTAGCTACAGTATACATGGAAATTCATATAAAATAGATGCCATGATCTCTGTGCTATCATATACATGTTTTTTCCTATTATATGTTTTGTATCTTGCTATTAATTTTATCTTGAGTTAGAAACTATTTTTTATCATGTCATATCATTGACTTTGTTTGAATGATATACCTTTACTGTAATACATACATGTACCTTATTTAACATTTTTATGGTTCATATCATGGTATGTCTATTGTAAGGAAATAAATGTTGTTTGATCTCATACTAAGACTTCGATTACTAAAACTTCTACGTAGGCAATTAGTACTCTTTTGTGAGTACATTTAAAACATAGTATAATTTGAATCTTGTGTAAAAAGCATCCTTTTTACACCAGTCTATCAAGTTTTGATTGTACATCACCTGTAAGCCTACAATGACCTAAATTGTTTCGTTTTCTTTGGTGACTTGAACATACACTGTAGGTCAGATACGGCATTTGAATCATTCACCAGACAAAACGTAGGAAGATTCATGATGAATGGAGGGTTTTATGTCATTGAACAGTCATAAATGCTGCCCTTAATTGGAGTTACTCAGAAATAATATCAAAAGGGAGCACAGAAGCTGACATCAGATTACATATGCAACATACACTGTATAGTACGGAAGCCCATTCAGGACCTGTCAAAAAATATTTTTGAATTCGATATAACGAATTGTTAAATTTGTTATAACAAATTTAATTCATTATAACAATTTCCTTAAATTTGTTATAACTAATTCAATCTGTTATAACAAATTTGTTGAATTCGTTATAACGAATTCAAAAATTTGTTATAACAAATTCTAAAACTTGTAATAACGAATTAAATTCGTTAAAAGGAATTCCTTAATTTGTTATAACAAATAAAATTCGTTAAAACGAAATCAACAAATCGTTATATCGAATTCATATATATTTTTCTATAGGCCCTGATTGTTGAATTTGATTAAACGAATTTAATTCTTTATAACAAATTTTAGAATTTGTTTAAAGGGATTAAATTTGTTATAACAAATTTTAGAATGGGTTTAAATGAATTTAATTCATTGTATCAAATTTTTGAATTCGTTTTGACGAATTCAATAAATTTGTTGTAACAGATTAAATTCGTTATAACGAATTCAAAGAAATTGTTATAACGAATTAAATTCAATACAACAAATTCCACAATTCGTTATATCGAAATCAAAAATATTTGTTGATAGGTCCTAAATGGGCCTCCGTAGTATAGGCAGATTTAGTAAGTAATCAGATAGTACAAATAATTATAAATATAATGAGATACAAAATCAGATATTTGAGGTATGTGTCGTCAGCCTTTAATCAGAGTTGGTTGAGTGTAATGTTAAGGTCAGGTGCATCATCTGAAGCTCATCATGACAAGCATCCACAAATTTAGTTTTCAAGGTACATGTATATTTGGTTTGAAATACCACTATGATAAATTATTTGAGATGAACTGTTTGGAGCTTGTTCCATGCCAAGCATTATTAGAAGGCAAGTCAAGCTGAAGTATGAGAGATGTTTCCACCCTACAGGTGGTGACTGTTCCAAACTTGAAAATATATGATGTGCATTTGAATGATATCCTGATGCATGCTCTAGAACTAAACTGACGAAATTCAATCCTCAAGGAAAACATCCCGGGCTATTTTCAGCATATTTCCTCCAGTCTTCATCCTTTGCGACACATATATACATGTTACGGATTGTTATTCCATTGCATTTTGCAGATGTTTAAAACTATGACTTATGACAGCTTTTAGGTCAATTGCCAGTTTATAATAAGTCACAAAATTAAATTTATGTATAATTTATATAATGCTTATACATGTATATGATAGAATTGGAAGAGATACGTGGTTTATAGTTTGGAAATGTTAAATACAAATTAAGAACTGTCGTTAAAACGGCAAAGCACGAAGTCGGGAGGAAACGGAACCGCTATTTTCAAGATGCCACAAAAACAGACCTGCAGGAAGCAATTTCCCTTTGAGGGAGCACATCCATATACTAGTATTTTTTCAGTTGGGGGGAGGGGGGGGGGCACTATCAACTACCAAAAATTCCTTGACACGCAAATAAATAAAAATAAGGTCATATCAGACGTTATTACTGAGGGGACACAAAGCACATAGTAGCTATGTTTCTATATGTTTTCTATTGGGGGGGGGGGGGGGGAGCATGAAAAACCTGTTAATTCTATACAGTGATGCAAAACTCTGGAAAGAATGGTATCAATATTTCCCACAAAGAGGAGTCCATTTCTGGAGAGAGAAAAAATGCCGCTCAATAAGTCAATTATTTGATTAGGAGGGGGAGGGAGCAAATTTGTTTTGTCAGATTATTTATTTTCATGCCAGTGAAGGACAGATTATTACGAAAGCCCATTGAGCTCATTTTCGTAGATAAAAAAAATATATTTTTCGCGTTATAACGCGAAACTTTCGCGAATAAACGCGTAACTTTCGCGTTATAACGCGTAACTTTCGCGAATAAACGCGAAACTTTCGCGTTATAACGCGAAATTATACATATATAGTCATGTTACTCAGGAACCTGTGTTCTTGACTGACAGATAAAAAACATGAACGCAGAGGGGGACTTCTATGAATTTATAAATGACATTTCTTCAGAAGATATAAAAGAGAATTGATGCGAGAAATGGATAGATTAGTGTTGATTTTGCATTTAATCTCAAAACCCTACTAATTAATTAAATGAATATTTCTTTAAAGATTTTCTTGTTTTTCACTTGTTGAATCCAAGAAATTCTGTAGACTAATTTTTTTTCTCAGGAAGATCTCCACTCGTTGCTTTCTTTGAATAAATTGTCAATGTTTTAGTAAGTAATGGTATGACCAAATGGTGCAACCTTAAAATACAATGTTGTATTTCTTCAGTGAGTCTATGAAATATTTAATACGAATATTTGTCATCCAATTTTCACATTAGGTTACTCATGTGATGTGACACAATTGTTCCGTGAAATACAAATTTACCTCATTGTTGTCAATTTTCTGAGATCTTTTATTTCAAATTCTACATAGAATGTTCAATCTAATTAAAATTAGACTTGTATTTTCGCTCCTCTACTATATGCTTCAACACTTGTATTGAACAGCATTGAGAAAGACAAAATGTGACGGCAAAAAAGATTTAGAAAGAGGAAAGACACATTCAATGGCGAGAAAACATAAAATTTCAGCTCGTGATAATCCAAGTTCAAAATAGTCTTTCGTTTTTCACTGTAATGAATAAACTAGATCATTAAAAAGTAAAACAAACTGTAGACTTATGCAAATGTCTCTGTTTTACAGGGAAAGTTTCTCGTTTATTCGCGAAAGTTACGCGTTATAACGCGACAGTTTCGCGTTTATTCGCGAAAGTTACGCGTTTATTCGCGAAAGTTTCGCGTTTATTCGCGAAAGTTACGCGTTATAACGCGAAAGTTTCGAGTTATAACGCGAAAGTTACTCGTTTATTCGCGAAAGTTTCGCGTTATAACGCGAAAAATATATTTTTTTATCTACGAAAATGAGCTCAATGGGCTTTCGTAGATTATATATTTTCAAGGTGATGAGGAAAAGATTATGTATTCCATTTTATTTTATGTTATTATTGTTCATGACTGTATGCCGACATGGTAATTGTCAATAAAGTGAATTGAATTGAATTTATTTTCTTAATTGAGGAAAGTTTGAAAAGGGGGAGGAAAACGGGGGAAATGACAGATTATTTTAATTGAGGACAGATTATTTATTTTCAACATTTTCAAGGACAGATAATTATTTCCAAAATCCTCCACACACACACCACCCCCTTCAGAGTCAAATTTTATATGAGTGGGCAGAGGGCTTATGAAAATAATTACGAAAGCCTAGAAGGGTCAAATAAGAAAATTAAAAAGCCGTAATTACGAGATAAAAAGTCGTTATTACGACTTTCTAAAGTCGTAATCATGGTAATTACGACTTTTTATCTCGTTATTACGACTTTCTTAAGTCGTAATAACGACTTTTTATTTCGTTATTACGACTTTCTTTAGTCGTAATTACGACTTTTTATCTCGTAATAACGACTTTTTATCTCGTAATAACGACTTTTTATCTCGTTATTACGACTTTTTAAGTATTTTTTTTATTTTCTTATTTGACCCTTCTAGGCTTTCGTAAATTATTATTTGAAACATAATTAATAAAATTAATTCTTTTTTTTTCATACAATTTAATCGTAACTTTTATAATAATTAAAATAGAAAAATAGGTTACAATTTTATCCATTGTGATAGGTGGCAGGTAATATAAAACAATAACATATATTGTGACATCAAACTAAAAAAAATGCAATTTGTGTTTAGAGCACACACCACACATAAACGAATCCGTTAAAGACCAAATTATCAAGATACTTCTCTTGTGTGCTAAAGATAAATTTTGTAGAAGCATGTAAATGTTATCAAAACGTTAACTGGCGGTTAAGTAAATGTAATATGTTGACGGTGCGACCGTTGGGGCGAGCGCATTGTTCACTTCATTTTAAGATCCGCCTCTTCAAACCGCACGAGACATTTGGAACGCCTAGACTGTGACGTCACATGACGTATGTTAGCTGCCAATCTCTCACCAGAGGGCGTATTACGCTTCGCTACAACGCTATAAGTGGAACGATAACTCTGGGTAGAGATTGGTTAGCTGCATTTCCATAAACAAAGTTTAAAAAGTGCAAATATTTTAACAAAGAACGTTTAATCTACTATCTGCATGCAATACCATCAAATTAAGGTGAGTTTATTTTTTGTGAAATTTTAGTTGTTGTCACCGCATGAACGAAGTTAGCAGCGAGAACAAGAAGCGATGCATTGTGGGTCAGAATTACTGAGGAAAAAAATTCTATTGAATGAATGTGCAGTAGTCCGAATTTTCTCTTCGCCCAGGCGTTGTCGTTAGAGCTCGCAGTGACGAGCGGCGCTTCGCGCCGCTCGCTGCGCTCGCTATTATTTTTACAACTTTATTGACACAGAAAGCGATGTTTTTTTGTAAATTTCAACTATGTTGTATTGTACTGAATTTGTCATTCTCCAGAGTGCTCTTCAACTGGTTGAAAAACAGGTAAGCTCCATTTAAATGAACCCGAATTTCCTCAGTTTCTCATCGAGAGTAAGAAATGGCTTAAAAGATATTTGCATGTTTCATGCTTTTCTATTAAAAGGAGAAAAAATTGGCCTGTGATAAGACTAAAGCCAAGAAACCTGTGTGTATAGTTAAACTAGCTGTACAAGAGATTGTGAACGGGGTAGAGGAAGACAATGAGCCGAAGCAAAAGGTATACCTGCTAGGAAATTGTTATTAAAAAAAAAAACAGATTTCAGTTTTATTTATAAGGTGTATATAATATACATAAGTTGTTTATGAATATCTCTCTCTTTTTTTTTAAATTTATTTATTTATTTACAGTTTTGGTGGAGTAAGAGGATTCATTCAGTAATTTTGTACAAGGTTCTGGCTTCACATTATGAGAAATTGCCAGATGAGCCCACTGTTTACTCAGTGCAGGAGGTCAACTTCAAAGATGGATGGATAGAACCAAAAAAGCTTGACAGTCAAGATGTTTTGTCGGACATTCTGCCTTTTATCAGCAAGTCACTGTACTTCAGTCTTGTGAAGGAGTGCAGCTGGCATAGATTCTTGACGGAGGTATATTATAAATGTAGAAACAGGTTGCAAGTACCCATACTGTAAATAATGAAATGTAAACCTATAGCATCTTCAATTTACTGCACATGTTATGCTGAAAAACAATTGCTAATATGTTTTACGGTGTGACCGTTGGGGCAAGCGCAGTTGTATCATCAAATTACACTTGTAAACTTTGATCTGCCTCTTCAAACTTCCAAAGGGCATGAGACAGTCTAGACTGTGACGTCATATGACGTCGGAATTTACGGAGACAGCCGAGCATCTGGTAGAACGAGACTGCAGGCCTAGTGCAATTTTTAACGAAATACGTTGTATAGTAAATGCAATTATTTTTTGATAATTTTAAGCTCTCGGCAAACTGAATGGCCTTTTATATTTTATATTATTTTTTATTGCCATTATCGCATGGAATCCTGGTAGTGAGGGAATTCTGGGAAGGTTTCACACTAAAATTGGCCTGTCATCCCAAATTTCCTCTGTTCTTACATGTTAGTCTATTGAGCTCACTTTGCGAGCGGCGCTTCGTGCCACTTGCTACACTCGCTATAATTAGTTTACATTATAAATTCTCTCTCTCAAATTGTTTCATTTGTTTCTAATGCTGCACATGATATGAAGATGCAATCACTTTATGACAAAACTAGAAAGACATAGGATACTAAAAAATAGATATGACCTCTTATACTGCATAATGATTTTCAATTAATTACAGCAGAGCATTTTTATTTTACAGTGCCTATTTACATTTGTTCATTTCAGATTCTGTGGCACTTAAGAGATGATTTTTCAAGTCAGTTAATCAGTGATGGAATAGGATATCTTAACCAACTAGACACTCATAATATCTGTGATCTCAAGTTAGGAGCTTGCTTTATTGAACACATGGTGTCATATTTGATATCTGACAGTGTTAAAGACAATATTCAGGGAGCATTATCTCTTTTGTCAGATGTTCTGACTCAGTGTTGTATTATAATTGACAATCTAAAAGAGACACCCTTAGAAAATGAAGATATTATTATAATAACAACTTGTTTCTATCAAATCTCTCTGTTACTGTGTTTGTGCAACAAAGTAGAAAGTATCCAAAATTTACAAAAATGGTTCGATGGAAATGCCATTGCCACCAAGAGTAGCACTTCAGAGAAAAGTTTAAGCTTCCAAGACTACTTCTGTAAATTTATGAAGGATAACATACATGGATGCTTTTTTGACTTGAACGACGAGGTTATCAATTATCTGAGAGAAAATCTTTCATTACAATGCCTCTTTACTTCTCTTATTAAATTGATGTCTTTAGGTGGTCCAACATTATGCTGTTCACTACTTGATTCTTTGTCATCAGATTCTGAATTAAGATTGGTATATATTTGTGAAAGTGAGATATTAATGTATTCAGAAAACCAAGATCAAAAATCAGACTTGAACAAAGTCAAAGTCAAATTTGATAGTAGAAACCTCGTAAGGAAGATCAATCAGTTGCTTCCAGGAACATGTGACCCTAATGTTAAAGATGACAGTGAGACAGTTTGCAGTTATTTATCCTCAATGTTAGACAGTGTGAACATTGAAGATGAAATGTTCCCTGATATATCAATCACAGCGGCAGTTTGGCGAGTTCAGGAGAGACAACCAAGATTCCAAGGCAAGCATCTGTTAGAGTAAGGTTAATTAAAAAATGATTATTGATAATGAATATACATGTACATGTATCTAATATTGTGTAAATTTTTGTAGACTTTTTGTTGAGGTTTGTGACAAGTCCAATTGCTTCACTTTGGTCATGTGACAAGTAGGTTATTTTTGATTTTTGAGTGTGTTTTGTTTTTTAGTATAAGATTTAACTGACTGTATTCTCAATTCCACAGTAAACTGAATGAATGTCTTTGATTCACTTGCACAAGAATTGAAAAGTTTCATGCTTACCTAAAACTTTTTTCACACAGATTGCTATCAGTTTTACAATTAAAGCTGGACTTGTTAGCAGAGAAGGAGCTAATGCTGTATTTGTATAAACTTGTGTGGAAATTAAATGACAAACTTGCAGAGACTCAGTTAGAAAAGCTGACAAAGGTAATTTTTTCCCCTTCTTAAAATGAAATTGGAGACAAATATAAGTGAAAAAAACAGTCTAAACACTGGTACTTTTGCAAATTGAATGTTAAAAATAATGTATTTTTGAATCCTGTTTCCTAACCAAAGATTTCCTTATTAAATGTGGGAGAGGGAGGGGGTTCTTAGTAAGAAATGCTATTTTTTTTTCTTCTTGTATTACATTTTCATTTCCAAAAGAGGACATAATTAAACACCTGTTAAGAATCACATTTATTACAGTTGGTGATGGACAGTTTTAGTCAGCTTGACCTTCCATCACGTGGCCAGCATATTGTACATGTGTACACAACCTACAAAGAGTGGCCCAAACCCCAGCCAGTTACCCATGTTTCCTTAAATCAAATCCTCAACAAATTCACCTCAGCGATGGAAGAAAAGGTAATACTCTAGGTCAATGCTAACATTAATTTAAGTGAAATCTTTACTATGAAAAACCAGTTGAGTCATTTAACATGCATATGTGTCATTGATTATAAACATGTCAATATCTACATGTGCTATGAGTGAAGTAGATATTTTGATTTGAAAATTCTCCTGTGATGAATGATGCTTTTTATTGGTTTGTGATATTTAAGTGACTGGTTTGTGATATTTAAGTGATGCTTTTTACTGGTGTGTGATATTTAAGTGACTGGTTTGTGATATTTAAGTGATGCTTTTTAGTTTTTACTGGTTTGTGATTTGTGATATTTAAGTGATGTTTTCTACTGGTTTGTTTAGGTGCTGGTAGAGATTCATCAGGCTGTGTTACAAAATGCTGATCTGACAGTAAGCCAACTTTTGGAGAGAGCTGTAGGTGGTACACACCAGGCAGACATTGTATACTCAGTATGTACAACTTACTTCATACATAATATCATTGTCATTATAGTACAAAGTACAGGCAAACATTGTGTGCTCAGTAAGTATGTTCAGATTATCTTTTATCATGTATACAAACACTCCACCAGACTGACAAAGTGCATATACCCGGTACATGGACATGTAATTTATTTAAACATAAAAGAGTATTTTCATTCGGTTACATATTCAATATTTTGCATGAAGTTTTTAAGATTTTACAATATACAAATAGACTAGATAAATAAATATAGAAATAACATAATATAGAAATGCTGTAGAATTCAGTATTTATTACACAGATACTGCAGACACTACAAGAACTGTGTTTATCTCGTGAGGATTCAGACAGAAGTGTGCTCTGCTGTAGACTGGATGCTTTCTTGACTTCTCACTCTCTCACTCAGAAGGAACAGGACACGATGATCAAATTTCTCCAGAATCTCATAAAGGTAGTTTTGAAAAATAGAAATTCTTATATCCTGAATTTAAGAGCAATTCATGTAAACTTGTTCTGTAATCAGCATTACTTCATTATAGCAAGGCAAGGAAGCAGTGCTAGATCCAGAGGAATTCTACTTCTCTGTAGTAGTTCCTCATTTGTCTTCACATAGACGTCAAGACTCAGAGTTGACAGTGAAACTTGCTCTAGATCTGGGGAAAATAGTATTGGTAGAGATTCTGGAACAAGGGAAATCAAACATTGACCTCACATTGAGCCTTGTATCAGCTGCTGAAATACTGGAGAACTGCAGGGCTCTGTGGTATAACACGGACAATGTGAACATTAAACCAAGAGTAGTAGACTTTCTAAACCTTCTAAGACAGTTTAAAGAAAAGCAGACATTTTGTGGTATGTTCTTTTTTAATAATCTCAACAATTATTTACTGGTACTTTAGTGAAAATCGTTGATCCAGAAAAAGCAACTTAAGATGTACATCCTTGTGCAATGGCAAGTCATTGGGACTTGGATGGGGAAAAACAGGATGTCAATTTTTTTTTTTGTTACATATGGCTAGTTAAATAAGCCTTTACAATTTTGTTTTTGTTTAAACAGAAGTTCAACAACAGTCACATTTATATGCAAGGACCCCCATTAATTGTATGCTTTATCATTTGGTAATTTTTAAATAGCATAGAGAATAATTTCGCAATAGAAGAAATTAGTTTCAGAAAAAAATGAATTTTAAATATACATGTATGATGATTTACAATGTACATGTGCATCAGGACAGATTAACAACAGAAACACTAATCCTTAAGGTAACTCTTTTGTTTAGTTGACTGGATTGTACAAACCACTATGGATTATGACTGCACTGTCAGACTGGCCACTTTACATGTATGTCTGACAGATGAAGAGTTTCACAGTGTTTGTGATACTCTGTGCAAACATCTTCTCCACCCAGACCAAGGTGAGTAGAAATTGTTAATGGCTGTTTTAGTACAATTAAAATCCACTCGTGACGTCACTCTTTTGTTTGAGTGCTCCATTACTTTTCAGGAATGGAGAGTTGCAATTTACATTGAAAACAGTGTTTGTTGTGTACAATATCTCTATCCCGTGACTCTACTGTGGCAAGAACTTGGAAAATTTGATAAACTTATATTGTCATATTAAGAAAAAGTGTAGCACTCCAGGGAGTCAAACTTTGCACCTTCCCTTTGGTAGTCAGACACTGCATCTCGCTATAATGAAGCTGTTGAAGGATAGAAGTTTTTAATAACTACATGACACTACACTTTCTTTGCCGTACCCTCAATACATAAATTAAATTTTACTAATATGGTAAATGTATATTTACAGTGTATTTATTAAATTATACCTTTATTATATAATATTTACATTTGCTGTGTTTTTCTACTAAGCCAACTGTGAAATTGATTTGAAAGTCATTTTTGTGTATACTCACGCGTAGAAATATACACGGTGAAACTCGCGCTAAAGTGACGTCACAATGAGGCTACAGAGACATTAATAAAAATATAACGATATAGGGCAGCAAGAAATTTAAATATTGAGTATATTATTGGTTCTTTTTAACTTGTAAAATGTAAATATAAGGAATGTTTTAAAGTTTTGTGTGATTTATTGGTGTGTAAATCATACAGATTTGCACGTAGGCATATTTTTAATGAAGCGCTAGCGCGGTTCATGAAATATGCCTACGTGACAAGTCTGTGTGATTTACACACCAATACATCACACAAAACTTAAAAACATTCCTTAATTGACAAACAAAAATTACAAGCATTTAAAACAATGGTCAGGATTTTAAGCAAGGTCAATATATTTGCAGCTCTCCATTCCTTAAAAGCAATGGGCCTGAGTCCCTTCAGGGCCTCGGCTCCATTACTTTTAAGGAATGGAGTGCTACTCGTACATTAACCCTTACGTATTGAACTCATCTGGAATTATTTGTTTATGTGTTCGGTATCTGTATTACAGAACTAGATTATAGGAATTTTTTGCGACTCGTTGCTGAACATGAGGTACTCTCTCAGATGATTGGAGGTTATCTTCATGACAGGTGGATTCTCAATTACCCAACACTACTGTTAACTCTGTTACAGGTAGGATTTTCAAATTATAAATGTTTGAATAAGTTCATTATTTAATTATTGATATTTAAATGCTGGCTGTTATGAGAAGGGCTGTGAATATTAAAATCTTCTTCAAGATTCTTCATCAAATTTTATTGTAACTTCAATTATGACAACAGGAAAGATATATAGTCAATAGGTGATGATGTTTAAATAACTAAATTAAGAAAGGACAAAAAGAAGTCCACAATGGAAAGTTGGTATATTGTAGTTCTAAACAAGCTACTTTTTTTGCATACTTGACTGACAGAGTATGGAATTTAATTCTTTTATATTTTCAGGTAACACCACATTTAATATCGGAGGAATGTATTCGGTTGTACAAGTTCCTGAGAGGAATGGTCAGGTCTGGTCATCTTTGTGTGTCTGTTAAGATGTCAGGAATATTGCCACTGCTTAATCTAACAGGTGTCATGTATAATTTACTGCACTTAAAAATCAGGTTGATCATGATGTTTTGGTTAATGTATGAATCTGTAACGGTAGATACCGTAAGTTGAATAGAAAAAAGTAAAGGAAAAATATCATAAGAAATGATGCACTCCATAATCATGACGTTTAATTTTTTTGTTTCAGAAATTTCAGAGTTGCTTCCCCTATCTCAGTTACTTTGTGATGTCCTAAGGCTGTTATCTCAAACACACAGCCAGCTCCCTCCCCCAGCTGTGGAACACTGTATCAGGTCTGCAATGGCTGTCTACAAGGTATGTCATATTTCATTTTTGAACCATAAAAAATGTAATATTTGTAAATAAAGAAAAGTTACAACCTTTCTAAATTTTTAACTACAAGAAAGTATACATGTATTTGTTGATAAAGAAAAGTGACATTTGTGTCCCTACAGAGAAAACTTGAAGAGAGGGGTCTATAACAATCTGTTTGTTTTGAAATTATTATACCACCATTACAAGTACCCACATATACATGTACCCCGGTAATTTAAAAAAAAAGTGCATTCTTGCCATAAGGTTCTTTTTTATATCATTTAAGGATGTCAGTATTATCCTCTCAAGATTAGTTGACTGGGCAATACATGTACCAAGTGAACTTAATACAATCGATATTTAAAGTATGGTGCAAGTTCTTTCCCTTTATGACTCTTTGGCATGGAATGCTGAACATTTTGTAGTCTTTACACATGAATCCCTATGTTGAGGTTTTTTTTGATTAGATCCATCATAACAAAAATGTTCATGGAATCCTCTAAATCGGAATTCAAGATTCTGCCTGGTCAACTTATAATGTCTACAATACCTCTAGTTTTCAATAATTTATTCGAACGAACAAGTTTTTTTTAAAAAAGTTGACTGTTTATTTAGAAGTTGTATGTTTTATGAATTTTAAATTACAGAATGTGGTTTTGTCAGAAACAACTACTTCACCCCGCTGCTGCATGTTCCTGCTTAATCATGTGTTCTCACATATCACCATGGCAATAGGCCATTTCCCCCCAGAAATGCTCGATTCAGTTAATATACTGCTGTTGGACATTGTTTGCCAGGTGGAGGACCTATGTGGAAAGGTTGCCATAGATACAATGTGTAGGGATCAGTTGACTGGGTTACAGAAAACTTCCTGTGCTATTCCTGATACAGAAACAAGAGACATGGTTCAAAAGAAACTGTGCTCTGTTTTACATGTACATTGAAAGTCTTTCATACTCTATTTCAATAAAATATTTTCTTAAAATCAGTTTTTACATATTGAGAGCTTTGCTGTCTTTGTGGCATATTAGTTCTACACTATCTGTTACCAATAAGCAAGAAATATATCAATAAACATCTTTGTTAGTCATGGGGTTTTGGTCTGCTCTGCTCTTGTGTTAGGGGGAGAAAGCTGACAGAAAAGTTTTGGTTAACAAAAGTGCTTCTCACCCGGAGAAAGGTCACAAATGCCATTTTAATTTACTTTAATTGTAATAAAGAGCAAATGAAAGATAGGTACAAAATGAAAGCAAGTTAAATTCCTTGGTTCAAGAAAACAGAAAGTTCCACATAGAAAAAAACAAAGATTCTGGATCTTCTTTGATCATAATTAACATAATTGGACTTCCAAAGTAAAATACATTCTGACACTTCCTCTATTATTCTGTGAAAATGCATTACACAGGGTTAAATTACTGAATGAAAATTTCCAACTTGTATCTATTCTTTAAGAAAACAATTGATATTGAATCAAAATAACTCAACTTTACTGCTTTTATTAGCTCACCTGAGCCGAAGGCTCAAGTGAGCTTTTCTGATCAAAATTTGTCCATGTCTGTCGTCGTCGGCGTTGTTGTCGTTGTCGTTGTAAACTTTTCACAATTTCATCTTCTTCTCCAGAACAACTGGGCCAATTTCAACCAAACTTGTCACAGAGTATCCTTGGGTGAAGGGGGTTCAAGTTTGTTCAAATGAAGGGCCACGCCTTCTTTCAAGGGGAGATAATCATGAATTCATGAAAAATTAATGGCATCATTTAAAAGTCTTCTTCTCAAGAACCACTGTGCTTGAAAATATGAAACTTATATGGAAGCATCCTCAGGTAGTGAAGATTCAAGTTTGTTTAAATCATGACCCCCGGGGGTAGGGTGGGGCCACAATGGGCGATCAAAGTTGTACATAGGAATATATAGGAAAATTCTTTAAAAATCTTCTTCTCAAGAACAGCAAAGCCATGATTGGTCATATTTATATGGAAGCATCTTCAGATAGTGTAGATTCAAGTTTGTTCAAATCATGACCCCCGGGGGTAGGGTGGGGCCACAATGGGCAATCAAAGTTTTACATAGGAATATATAGGAAAACTCTTTAAAAATCTTCTTCTCAAAAACAGCAAAGCCATGATTGGTCTTATTTATATGGAAGCATCCTCAGATAGTGTAGATTCAATTTTGATCAAATCATGACCCCCGGGGATAGGGTGGGGCCACAATGGGCGATCAAAGTTTTACATCGGAATATATAGGAAAACTCTTTAAAAATCTTCTTCTCAAGAACAGCAAAGCCATGATTGGTCATATTTATGTGGAAGCATCCTCAGGTAGTGTAGATTCAAGTTTGTTCCAATCATGACCCCCGGGGGTAGGGTGGGGCCACAATGGGCGATCAAAGTTTTACATAGGAATATATAGGAAAATTGTTTAAAAATCTTCTTCTCAAGAACAGCAAAGCCATGAATGGTTATATTTATATGGAAGCATCCTCAGGTAGTGTAGATTCAAGTTTGTTCCAATCATGACCCCCGGGGGTAGGGTGGGGCCACAATGGGCGATCAAAGTTTTACATAGGAATATATAGGAAAATTGTTTAAAAATCTTCTTCTCAAGAACAGCAAAGCCATGAATGGTTATATTTATATGGAAGCATCCTCAGGTAGTGTAGATTCAAGTTTGTTCCAATCATGACCCCCGGGGGTAGGGTGGGGCCACAATGGGCGATCCAAATTTTAAATAAGAATACATAGGAAAAATCTTTTTCACAAGAACAACAAAGCCATGATTGGTCATATTTACATGGAAGCATCCTCAAGTAGTGCAGGTTCAAGTTTGTTCAAATCATGACCCCTGGGGGTAGGGTGGGGCCACAATGGGCGATCAAAGTTTTACATAGGAATATATAGGAAAACTCTTTAAAAATCTTCTTCTCAAGAACAGCAAAGCCATGATTGGTCATATTTATGTGGAAGCATCCTCAGGTAGTGTAGATTCAAGTTTGTTCAAATCATGACCCCCGGGGGTAGGGTGGGGCCACAATGGGCGATCAAAGTTTTACATAGGAATATATAGGAAAATTGTTTAAAAATCTTCTTCTCAAGAACAGCAAAGCCATGAATGGTTATATTTATATGGAAGCATCCTCAGGTAGTGTAGATTCAAGTTTGTTCCAATCATGACCCCCGGGGGTAGGGTGGAGCCACAATGGGCGATCCAAATTTTAAATAAGAATACATAGGAAAAATCTGTAAAAATCTTTTTCACAGGAACAACAAAGCCATGATTGGTCATATTTACATGGAAGCATCCTTAAGTAGTGTAGGTTCAAGTTTGTTCAAATCATGACCCCCGGGGGTAGGGTGGGGCCACAATGGGCGATCAAAGTTTTACACAGGAATATATAGGAAAAATTTGTAAAAATCTTTTTCTCAAAAACAGCAAAGCCATGATTGTTTTTTTTAATGGTTGCATCCTCAGGAAGTGTAGATTCAAGTTTGTTTAAATCATGACCTCCCAGGGGTAGGGTGGGGCCACAATGGGCGATCAAAGTTTTACATAGGAATACATAGGAAAAAGCAAGCCTTTTAAATTCTTCCTCTGAAGAACAGCAAAGCAATAATTAGTCATATTTAAATGCAAGCATCCTCAGGTAATGTAGATTCAAATTTTGTTCAAATCATGACCCCCCCCCCCCCCCCCCCAGGAGAATAGAGGGACCATAACAGGGGATCATAGTTATACAAAGGAATACAAATGATATATCAATAAAAATTGTCTTCCTAAGAACAGCATAACCATTATTTGTCATATTAATTCAAAAGCATCCCTTTGAAGTATAGATTCAAGTTCAAATTTAACCCCCCCCCCCCCCCCCACTCGAACCACTTTTATATCAAAACTTTTCAAGACTCGACTGATTTCTGCTTTTTCCTAGCCAGAGTGCTCAGGTGAGCGATGTGGCCCCTGGGCCTCTTGTTCGTGGATTATTGTGTTTTTCGTTGCGACTTCTAGGAATTAACAGTGGTCTCTGATAAACTGCAATGCAGTCTTAATATTTAACTGTTTATTTGTGTTTATATTCTGTTTGCTCAACTTAATCTGCAATGTCCATTCCTGTATGAAAAAAATTGAGAATATGAAGAAGATAGAGAGTATCTTGAATAGTTTCTTTAAAACAGAGGTTTGTACACAATAAATAGTAAAATCAAAGGTCATTGGGAATGTCAAGGTAAACAAATTTGGACACAGTTGATAAATTCTTAACAATTATGTGTCAATCCTGCCACTACATAAGCTTACATAAAATGAAAAGTTTCTTTAAAACTGGGCTACTGGCAAAATAAAGAAAAGTAAGGTCAAGGTGATCATTTTGGACAGTAGAATATTATTCATGAATAATTATCAGTATATATGTTTAGATGAAAATCTTGAATAGTTTCTTTGAAATTGAGCTAAATTTCAAATTTAAGAAAAGTGAGGTCAAGGTCAAAGGAAAGGTCAAAGTCAAACATTTATGATGCAGTTGAATAGTTCTCACTAATAAGTAATTCTATATGCAGTTTAAAATATATTGCACATTTTCTTTGAAACTGTATTGTATGAAAAAAGAAGTTAAGGTCAGAGGAAAGGCCTCGGGAAAAAATGTTGATGCTACTGTATAGCTCTCATCAATATGTATCATCAAATGAAATTTAAAAAAAAATTGTGCATTGTTTCCTTGAAACTGAGCTAAACACAAATCAAAGTGAAGTCAAAGTCATTGATGCAGATGAATAGCTCTCACCAATATGTATCAGCACACAAAGTTCCATGAAAATATCTTGAATATCTTCTTTGAAACGGAGCTAAATGCAAAATGTGACGGCAGGATGGAAGACGGATGTGGCAAACACTACCAGTATAAATATGCCATGGACATATTCATGGCGGGGCATAAAAACGGTACATGTAAACATGTTTCTAACTTACAGGTTAGCTTGTAAATATAGGGCAACATGTTGTCCATTAAATTACAAAATGAGGGGAAAGCTGTCAATGTGACAGCAAACTGGGTTTTCTTTTGTGTAAAGTGTTCTTGTATTTTTCACATGAATTATCTTTCTTTTCTGTAAACTGTAGGAGCTGACATACCTACAAAATCAATGTACCCTATTAGCATATTTTGCATAGAAAAAGACCATGTTCAACATATGGTATTTTCCCCATAAATACCTAAAAATCAAACTTCAAGTAGTATGTACATCTCGGACAGATGTTTTGCAAAATAAAAACATCTTGAAAACTGTAGGAGGAGTTATCCGGACAAATGATGTACCTTATATGCAATATTTTGCCAAAAAATGACAAAATTCAATAGCTGGTATTTTTCTCATAAAATAATAAAAAATCAAAAACAAAATACAGGTATGCAAATGATATGTGCACAATTCATCTGCAAAATAATAAAATGTTCCCATTTTGAAAATTGTAGGAGGGGTTATTCAGACAAATGATGTACCGATTTGGCAGCTGCCAGGCCAACATTTGAATACATGTAACTGGATTTTTCCTATGGAAAACCCAGTTAAAAATGACATCACAATCATGCTTTAAGAGTAAAGATTTATCAGGAAAAAGTTGCTGGATGATACAAAAATGGACAGCAAGGTCCAAGGGTTTCTTGCTCTGAAAATACAGGCATGTATTAAAAATTAAAAAAAAAAAAAATTAGTATTCATTTAAACAATAGGACATACATGTACATGTATTTCTGATTATGTGAAATACTGTGGAATCATCATTGTTCTAGGGGATCAATGTCCCTGGATTTTGTAAGTAGCCCTTACCCACAATTTAACGACCTGATGAACATCGAAACTCACATACATTTAGTGTAGTTGATTTATTTATCTTAATAAAATATGCATGTTACCCACGAAATTACGTACCCATGAACCAATCAAATTTTGGTAACCAGTAACCAAATGTAACAGGATAAAATTGTATTTACGCTATAAGAAATGACAAAAAAGTTTTTTAAAATTTAATATGCAATTCAATGACAAAAATTATTTAAAATAAATAAAATTAATCAGAGTACAATGTCTGTATATTCCAGGACATTCCAATAAAATATGACAACAGAAAGTTCCATTATTTTGGTCATCAATTAAAATTTAACAAGTTCTATGCAGTAAAAGTTTTCTATTAGCAAATCATTCCATGGCAAAAATCACCACACTTAATACACATCATTATGTTTTGTACTTGTCAGTGTGTAGAAGCTGCCAACTTAACTCTTCTGAAATCCACGAAATGACTGTGATGATGTAAATAGAACAAACACCGATGTATTTATGAACATAACACAGCTTACTCTGGGGTGTTAAGTTTTAGTTAGAAGCTGAACTAATCATCATCATTGTTAAAGTAAGATTCCGTGTTTGGGAATCGATCTTTGTTGTAGTCCGTATCATGAGACACTCTGTGAGATATAGCATTATGAACTTGTTCCTCATATGCTGACTGTAGCTCTGTGTCGGTACTAGCCTCTGTCCTCAGGTTCTCCATGCTACTGATAGGCTCCACCCCCGCAACCCTCACTGCTTCAGTCAGCTGATCTGTTAAGGACTGCGGAGTATTGGCAAGGTCTCCAGGTCTGTCTTGTGTCATGAGCTACAAAAAGATCATTATTTTAAAATTGTATACTTGCATAGAAAACATCAGCAGTCATCAAATACAGACTTGTTTAAATAACAGAATTTCATGCAACAAAAATAAGGTATTGAAATGATTGAAGAGTTCCAGAAGACAGCTAGTGCAAGTAAATGCACAATCTACCACTTCCATTTAATTCTTACTTTAAATAATGTTATCAATACTCACTCTTCTACGTTTTGGGGGCATTCCATTCAAGTAGGCATCACTAAATGGAGGCTGGTGTCTCTGTTGCTTTTGTTTTTGAACATCACCATTTATCACTGGCACCCATTCCTGTTAAAACAGAAATAATCATGTACATGTATGCTGATTCTCACAATGATTTGTATGATTCTGTAACAGATGACTGTAACTTACTGCAGGGACTTCTCTATCCCAGCCCTCTGAGCTCATGGCAGCCCCAGCTGGCTCTGGTTTGGGGGTAGTCAGAGGCTTCTTGTTACTGGAGTTATTGCCATTCACCAGTCGGCTAGTGCTGGGTTGGGCAGCTGCTTCCTCTGGCTTAGACATATCTACATCCATCTGCTAACATGATCAACATGAACATTAATAGCTAAACATTTAAATAATGGTGTCTTTTTTTTACCCATCTCATCTTATATGCATACAATCCTTCAAAATAAAAATGTTGACTACATCTAAATCTCATTGCAAATCTCATGACTTCGTAAAATTTAAAATATGAAGGTGACAGTGTTAATTAATTAAGCACACGATTAAGAGAGGTACATGTAGCTTGAGCCTGTGCAGACCTTGCTCTCGCCTGCCTCTGGCTGTGAGGCCCCAGGAGAGGTGGTGTCCATGGGAGACAGTTTGGCAGCCTCCTCCGCCTTCTTTTCTTTTTTCAGGACCAGGTAAGTTGTAATGTCAGTCTCAGTTACTGTAATTGTTGGCAGGAATTGATTTAACTGTTGTGTAGTCACAGTTATCATCCACTGTTGAATCATGGGATTCACACCTCGTGTGATGTATTGCTGGAAAACAATATTCAATATACTTTTACAAACAAGAGGCCCATGGGCCACATCGCTCACCTGAGTAACTTTGGCCATGCTGTTCATTACCAGACTTCCCCCCTTGTAATACCTATTGTGGCCCCGCCCTACCCCCAGGGGCCATGATTTGAACAATTTAGAATCTACAATACCCCAGGATGCTTCCACATAAGTTTCAGTTTTTCTGGTCCAGTGGTTCTTGAGAAGATTTTTAAAGATTTTTCCTATATATTTCAATGTAAAACTTGGGATTCCCTATTGTGCCCCCCCCCCATCCCCGGGTCATGATTTGAACAATTTAGAGTGTAAACTACATGAGGATGCTTCCACATAAGTTTCAGCTTTTCTGGCTCAGTAGTTCTTGAAAAGAAGATTTTTCAAGATTTTTCCTATATATTTCAATGTAAAACTTGTATTACCTATTGTGGCCCCGCCCTACCCCTAGGGGTCATGATTTGAACAATTTAGAATCTACACTACCCCAGGATGCTTCCACATAAGTTTCAGCTTTTCTGGCCCAGTGGTTCTTGAGAAGAAGATTTTTAAAGATTTTTCCTATATATTTCAATGTAAAACTTGTATTCCCTATTGTGGCCCCGCCCTACCCCCAGGGGTCATGATTTGAACAATTTAGAATCTACACTACCCCAGGATGCTTCCACATAAGTTTCAGCTTTTCTGGCCCAGTGGTTCTTGAGAAGAAGATTTTTAAAGATTTTTCCTATATATTTCAATGTAAAACTTGGATTCCCTATTGTGGCCTCGCCCTACCCCCGGGGGTCATGATTTGAACAATTTAGAATCTACACTACCCCAGGATGCTTCAACATAAGTTTCAGTTTTTCTGGCTCAGTGGTTCTTGAGAAGAAGATTTTTAAAGATTTCTCCTATATATTTCAATGTAAAACTTGGATTCCCTATTGTGGCCCCGCCCTACCCCCGGGGGTCATGATTTGAACAATTTAGAATCTACACTATCCCAGGATGCTTCCACATAAGTTTCAGCTTTTCTGGCCCAGTGGTTCTTGAGAAGAAGATTTTTAAAGATTTTTCCTATATATTTCTATGTAAAACATTGATTCCACATTGTGGCCCCGCCCTACCCCCGGGGGTCATGATTTGAACAATTTAGAATCTACACTACCCCAGGATGCTTCCATATAAGTTTCAGCTTTACTGGCCCTGTGGTTCTTGAGAAGAAGATTTTTTAATGACCCCACCCTATTTTTGTCTTCTCTTGATTATCTCCCCTTGTGAGGGGACTTGACCCTTCATTTTAACAATTTATATTCCCCTTTACCCAAGGAAGCTTTGTACCAAGTTTGGTCAAAATTGGCCCAGTGGTTCTTGAGAAGAAGTCAAAAATGTGAAAAGTTTACAGACGGACGGACAGACAGACGGACAGACAGACGGACAGACGGACAGACGGACGGACGGACGACGGACAAAATGTGATCAGAAAAGCTCACTTGAGCCTTCGGCTCAGGTGAGCTAAAAATGTACTTAAAATGATTACCAATTTTTTTAAAATTTAATTTCATAATAAGAATCAAATGTTTAGCAAGGAACAAATAAACGGTAAATAAGAAAACATGGATAAGCACATCAATTAGCCTCTGACAAGGAGGAGATTACAGTAGATACACGTTAAATATGTTGTTTTGCCCTAAACAGTGTCTCTGTGAGTTTTGTTTCTTCTTGTATTAAATGCACATTTCTCACATTGTGTCAATACTTCTCCAAACAATAAGGGAGACATACCAGACGATTTTGTATAAGGGCCTGGAGACCTGCCATGCCTCCGGTTAAACAGTGCTGAGTCAGAATTATCAGCAGGGAGAGCGCCATTCTCATTCTATTGTACAACTCCTGACCAAATCCTCCATCAGATTCTGTAGCAGATTATAAAACAATTATAATGGATACACAATTTACATGTAAGTCCGTACCGATTCTCCACAGTAATGCTGATAAACTGGTGAACTTACCCGCTCTCATAATGAATGTAATGATGCTTATTAACTGTGTTCTGAAAAAATTATTCCATGTCTCAACTAGATTGATCTGTGGTTTTACTTCTGAAACATTCTGAAAAAAACAAACAATACATTTTTGAGAACTGCTTTTTTAAAACATATCCTAAGGTAGTTACATGTACCGTACATATATGTAGCTATCATAATGGTTAACAAGTTTTTTTTCTTTCTTTTTTTCAAATTGAATGAAGCATACAGTAACTTAAAGTGAATATTTTCCAGACTTTTAAAACATACAATATTTCCTCAATTGTACATGTTGGATATGTTGGGTACTTTTAAGAATATGTTTCTATTTAAAGCTGTCTTACAGCAGTTTCTGTAAGTTCCTCCTGCATATCATTAACAAGAGTATCTACAGCCTGGACTATGTTCTCAGCACTCGCCTCCCGACCATTCAGTATCCTATCTCGGAAGAACTGCTGTAGTGGTCCCCTCAGCTGATCAAGAGGCTGACCCGATCCATAAAATACTTGGATTAGATGTGGGAAGGTCAGGTGATTGGATACCACATTGAAAACATCGTGAATGAAACCTGCTGAAGAAAGAGATTTATAGCTAACACTAATACTGCACTAAAGCCAGATTTACATTACTGATATGTTGATAACAAGAGGCCCATGGGCCTTGAATCGCTCTTCTGATAAACTGTACAACCTATCACTTCTACTTGAAGCCTCGAAGTATCCTGTATATTTACATAAACCCTTGAAATTCCAATTCACACACTGAGAACCCAAGATGATTCTAAGCCAATTAGTACCTGAGAGTTGGTCATGGTGACCTACTTATCACTTGTCATTCTCTGAGGACCCATCAACTAAGTTTGATGATTCTAAGCCAATTAATACCTAAAATATTTTTTAAAATTATAATCATAAAATTTTATAAGTAGGTCAAAGTGACCTACTTTTCAATTGTTTTACTCCAAGGACCCAAGATGCATCAACTGACAAAGTTTGATGATTCTAAGCCAATTAGTACCTGTAATATTTAATTAAAGCCATAAATTTTCAAAAGTAGGTCACCGTGACCTACTTTTCAGTTGCTGTACTCCAAGGACCAAAGATACATCGACTGACAAAGTTTGATGATTCTAGCCAATAAGTACCCAAAATATTTAATTACAGCCATAAATTTTCAAAAGTAGGTCACAGTGACCTACTTTTCAGTCAACCTACTCTGAGGACCAAAGATGCATCAACTGACAAATTTTGACGATTCTAAGCCAAATAATTCCTGAAAAATATTAAATACAGCCATAAAATTTCAAAAGTAGGTCACCGTGACCTACTTTTCAGTTGTTGTACTCCGAGGACCCAAGACGCATCAACTGACAAAGTTTAATGATTCTAAGCCAATTAGTACCCGAAATATTTGATTAAAGCCATAAATTTTCAAAAGTAGGTCACCGTGACCTACTTTTCAGTTGTTGTACTCCGAGGACCCATGACGCATAAACTGACAAAGTTTTATGATTCTAAGCCAATTAGTACCCCGAAATATTTTATTAAAGCCATAAATTTTCAGAAAGTAGGTAAGGTGACCTACTTTTTAGTCGACCTACTCCAAAGACCCATGACGCATCAACTGACAAAGTTTGATGATTCTAAGCCAATTAGTACCCGAAATAGTTAATTAAAGCCATAAATTTTCAAAAGTAGGTCACGGTGACCTACTTTTTAGTCCATCTACTCTGAAGACCCAAGATGCATCAACTGACAAAGTTTGATGATTCTAAGCCAATTAGTACCCGAAATATTTAATTAACGCCATAAATTTTCAAAAGTAGGTCATTGTGACCTACTCTTTAGTCGACCTACTCCGAAGACCCAAGATGCATCAACTGACAAAGTTTGATGATTCTAAGCCAATTAGTACCTGAAATATTTAATTATAGTCATATAAATTGAAAAGTAGGTCACGGTGACCTACTTTTCAGTTGACCTTTTTTGAGGACCCAAGATGCATCAACTTACAAAGTTTTATGATCATAGGACTTAAAATGTCCAAATTATGCCTCTAAAACGCTTTGAAATCGAATGCCTGCAAAGTTCAAAAAGTAGGTCACTGTGACCTACTTTTTAATAAATATGTTTTATGGCCCCAAGAGGCATCATCTTACAAGATTTAATGATTCTAAGCCTCCCCGTATTCGAATTAATGACCTTAATTGTTTTAAAAAAGATTAGCCATAAAATTCAAAAAGTAGGTCAAGGTGACCTACTTTTTAAGTGACGTACTTTGACGACCCAAGATGCATCAACTGACAAAGTTTTATGATCATAGGCCTTAAATTGTTCAAAATATGCCTCTAAATCATTATGAAAAAGAATGGCCGCAAAATTTGAAAAGTAGGTCACTGTGACCTACTTTTGAGTCAACATGATATGAGGTCCTTAGATGCACCAACTGACAAGATTTGATGATCCTAGTCCTTATAGTAAGCAAAATATCAACATTTTAATAAAATGTAATTTTTGGTCAACTTTGAAGTGACCTTGAGACCACGCCCTTTGCCCCAGGGTAAATCCCCGTGCAAATTTTAATCTACAACATATCCTCATCCTTTTGTGTAAGTTTGGTGATAATCTGCCCAGTGGTTCTTGAGAAGAAGATTTTTTAGCAACCAGTACTTTTGTTTCTATTTTCCTAATTATCTCCCCTTGTTAAAGGGTCACAACCCCAGTTTTAGTATAAAAGGGAGCCCTTGGGCCAAGGATACCCTGTGACAAATTTGACAATAATTGGCCAAGGGGTTCTTGAGTTATGGCCCATATTCTAAAAAGTTTACGCACACCGCACACCGCACAAATGGCCATAGCATTAGCTCTTTGAGCCTTTGGCTCAGAAGAGCTAAAAATAACTGTAAACTACACGTATATTTATCTGTAAACTACACTGTATATTTATCTGTAAACTACTCTGTATATTTATCTGTAATACATCTCTTCCACCAGTGGTAACAGCAACAACTTTTATTCTTGTTAACCATTTATATCAATTACTATGTACATGTACATATTAATATTAAGACGTCACTACTGGTCCTATAATACTGAATCTGAGTATACATTTTAAGCTCACTTGAGCTGAAAGCTCAAGTGAGCTTTTCTGATCACCAGATGTTCGGTATCCATTTGTCTGTCTGTTTTAGCTGCCCATCTATCTATAAACTTTTCACATTTTCAGCTTTTTGGGGGGAACAAAGGGCCAATTTGAACCAAAGTTGGCAAAAAGCATGCTTTGGTAAGGGGGATTCTAAATTGTTTAAAATGAAGGGCCAAGGCCCTTCCAAGGGGAGATAATTGAGAAAAGACAAAAAAAGAGAAAAGGGTTCATTGAAAAATCTTCTCATTTTTCCAAGAGCACTGGATCAAAAAAGGTGAAACTTTCATACATGTGAAAGGTTCCTGAGGTAGTGTAGATTTTAAATTGATTCAAATCATGGCCCCTGGGAGCAGGTTGGGGAAACAATAGGCGATCAAAATTGTACACTGGAATATATAGGAAAAAATATTTGAAAATCTTCTTTCACAAGAACCACTGGGCTAGAAAAGGTGAAACTTATGTGCAAGCTTCCTGAGGTTGCTTACATTCTAAATTGTTCAAATTATGTCCCCCAGGAGTATGATGTAGCCACAAAATAGGATCAAAGTTGTACATTGGAATAACTGTACAAGAAAAATCTATTAAAAATCTTCTTATTCTTAAGCACAGCAGGGCTACAGTAACTAAGGTGAAGGCTGTAGCCTTTGTAGATCTTAAAAGGATCATTTGCACATACATGTTGATGAAAGTATGTTTACAGATGAAATATAACATCATAATACACTTACCCTCTCCCGGCACAATCTGGTGATTTTCTCCCAGGCTTGATAGGAAAGTAGAGATGGTCTCTGGGGGACCTTGTCCTAGTGCTGTTCTGGTTACAATCCCGCTAATTCCCTGAACCAAGGAAGCAAACACATCATCAGTCATCACTGGTTCTGTGGTGCTAGAGGAAGCTGAGGAGGAGGTGCTGCTTGTGGAGGTGGATCCAACAGGGGTGGAGGCTGTAGTAGAAGGGGTGGTGGGGGAGCCAGATTGCTGTTGCTGTAGGATAAGCAGGGTAGGAATGCATGGAATAAGCTAGTAACATAGGAAAACTCAATATCTGCTTAATTAATATGGTAATCCAAAATTATCTCAGTTGATTCAAATCAACTCAATCTCATTTTTAAAATTCAGGAAAACTCATTTTGAATTTCAAAGCTTTATGTATGTGGTGTGATACTGTGCAGGACTAACATATTGTGCTTGGTTATGACTTGAACTTACAGCTCCTGCCAGCATTGACCTCAGCATTTGAACAAACACAGGTTCTCCCTGTTGTCCTCCTCCCCCTGTCTGTGGACCTCCAGCAGGAGTACTTGTACTTCCCTGGGGCTGAGGTGGGGGTCTGTTGCTTGGGGGTGCTCTTGTTCCTGTGGCAGGGGCACCTGGTGGAGCGCCTGGCCTCATCATTCCTAAACCTCCTATAACAACCCATACACTCATCAAAAATTAAATATTTTAGAGTAGAAAAAATACTGAATGGGGATTTTAATTAGCTGGTGTATAATTTGCTTATATTTCCTTTGGTACCTAATCAAAGTTTGAATCCATATCAATCTTATAATATCATATCAATATCCATATCAATTGGTATATAAAAAATTATGTAATTTTATTTACAATTTCCAGAATACTCAGATTTATGTGTATGTATCATCAGCAGGAATATAATACTATCACTGTGAATTTCCCTCATACAGTACAAGCCAATTATACAACTTTATACTGGAACATTTCTTTAGTAAAGACTATGAAAAGAGATAATTTTTTTCTCATATTAATTAAGTATGGTAATGTGTGCATACCAGGCACTCATGGGGACCAATTTTCATGGATTTGGAGTATCAACTTTTGAAAGGATATCAAAATGGTATTCTCACAGTGTGAGAATATCAGAAGTGCGGCAAAACTTTCGATTTTCCTACCAATCACAAAGAGTGTTTTAAAAAAAAAAAACCTGGCCTGTTATAAGATAGAGTAAATGCATCATCCTGACGGAGACTAAAACTGCCAAAGTTTCTCCAAATATGTTGTTAAAAATCCATGTTTACAATGTTTTTCAATCTCACAATCACTTAGCTATGACGCCTCAACCACTCAACTATGACGTCACAGCCTATGACACCGTGTTACGAAAAGGCAGTCAAAGGGAAAATCAAAGAAAATGTAATAAACAGAAAATCAATGTTTTGTAGATGAATATGGAATTTATTTTACTTGTGAGACAGAATTTTTTGATACTTTCACTTGAGCTTCGCACTCATGAAAATATAAAAAAGTCCTGTCCCACTCATGAAATAAATTCTATATTCATCTACAAAACATTGAATATCCTCTATATATATATATATATATAACCCAAAACAAAAAATCAACCATACCCATCATATTTCCTAGCATATTTCCTATCTGCCCTGCTCCAAACATGCCTGGTGGAAATGGAATTCCTGCTGGCAAACCTCCCATCTGTATAGAGACACTGGGGATCCCTGGTCCACCAGGAAACTGGGCAAATTGGAAGTTAGGAGGAATTCCAGATGATGATGAGGAACTACAATTATACATTGTATGTGTAATGAATACGCTGGAGTTATCATCTAATAAACTTTTTCTGAAACATTGATTTTACACAAGTATTCAGTAAGTCTTGTATGTAAGAAAAGTTAGTGTAGATACACGTATAAGTAGGTGGAATGAAAAATAAATTCCTAAGATTAAAAAATGTTATATGGTCAATAGAAGAAAACCTCGTTATTTACTGGGAGGAAGAAAATCTCAGGAATATTTACTAGGAGGGTATAAAATCTCACAGTGTTATTTACTGGGAGGAAGAAAATATCATGGCTATAAACTGGGATGTACAAAATCTAGTGGTTATTTACTGGGAGGTACAGAACCTCATGGTTGTTTACTGGGAGGTAGAAAATATCATGGTTATTTTTTGGCAGGAACAAAATCTCACAGTTATTTACTTGGCGATAAAAAATCTCATGCTTATTTACGAGGAGGTACAAAATTTAATGCTTATTTACTGGGAAATGGAAAATTGCATGGTTATTTACTGCAAGGTTACCCTGATGTGGATGTAGAAGATCCTGTGGAGGTTGTTGCCACTCGGGCTGATGGTGCTGACCCTCCGGTAGAAGAAGTGCTTGTTGCTGTTCTGGGTGCTGAGCTGGGCATGGCACTAGCTGTTCCTGTTGTTCTGGGTCCACTCTGCTGGCTTTGTAGTTGACCCATTACATTTGCCATTAGATTTGGCATGCTTATCTGAAAATTCATCATGCATATCATAGTTACTCCAAAAGAATTCTAATAAACAATTTTATACTTCAATACTGTAGATCTCCAAATTTTTGTGACACCTTATTTTCGCAAGAAGCTGTATTTATACGAGAGACATAATTTTCAGAAATATTGGTTATAGTTTTATATTATCCTAACAATAAAAATATATGTGAGAATCAAATTTTCGCAAGCAGCAGTGTCACTTAATTATGCGAGCATAAATTTCTTGCAAATATAAAGTGATTTACAGTACTTTGAATGTACATGTATATGATCAAATAATTGTATCCCATAACAATCTTTTCAAGGTGTAATTACAATCCTTGGAACTTGTCAAACAACTGACCTGTACTTGAGCTCCTTGTCCAGCAGCATTTCTGACTTGTTGTCTGAGGAAATGTCGTGAAGAGCAGGGTAAGTATGGATCCACCCCTCCTCGCATTCCCCCCATCCCTCCTATGCCAGGTATACCAGGAAGTCCCGGGGGTAATCCACCTGGTAAACCAGGCACTACAAATGCTGCAGCACGAGGACGAGTCTGGGTGCCAGAAGTGTTTGTAACGGAGGCAGCAGTCTGGGTCTCTGAAGAGTTTGTCTGTCCAGGGTTTGTCTGTGTAGAGCTTGAATTAGTTTCTGATGTTGATGTATTGCTGGGAACTGCTGTTACTGGGGTAGATGTGGCAGCTTCAGCATAGGTTCTAGATCCAGGCAGATTTACTTGCACTCTTCCAGATGGGTCTAAATTCAAAACATTTCTTTTCGATATATTTCATGCATCTGTATATACAACTTTGAAACCCCTTGTATCACCCCAACACTGATTCCGAGAACAAACTTTTAAAAGCCTTGCATGCACATGTTCACACCATAAGAATACATTAAGAACATGTACAAAGACGAAAAAAAAAAAGAATTTATGCCTCAATGATTATTTCCTGCCATAAAAATCTCAAAAAACTTAAATGATGCAATCTATGATTAGTTTTTAAAAGCAATGTCTGCAGAGTTTGAATCAACAAGAAAATCAATGACTTAAATAGAAAATAAGCAATTTACAGTTAAAGTTTTTCTGTCCAGATTTCCTACTGTAAAATAAGGAAAAGGACACACTCTTCATGTAACTGATGATGTCAGCTCCTGCAAATTCAGTTCTCTTATTCTGTGGCTTCAGACAGAGAAATTGATAAAGTTGCTGCATTATGTGTGTGTATTAATCTATATTAAATACCTATAGTCCCCATCATCACTGAGGATACGATGTTCTGGATCAAATCAGGAGGTATGGCTGGCATGCTGCCACCAGAAGAGGAGGCTGCTGGTACTGAAAAGAAACACACATATAGAATAAAATTGAACAGTTTCATACATGCAGCTTTTTCAGTATTTACATGTATATAAAAGGTACAAATAAAAAGGTAGTGCATGTATTCTTACTTTAAATGAGTACTATATTTTGATGCCCTCAGTGCATAAATTGATGTTTGTCACCAAAATGTAATTTTAAGCACATTATTGAAAGTATTTTGCATAAATATGTTATGAATACAAATAAGCATTGTGAAGCTTGACAGATGAATTTATCAAATTTTATTTGTGTGATATTTAATGATTGTGGCCTATTTCAAAGATCTTGCCCTGCATAGATATGTTTAGAATTCTTACCCAAAAACAAAATGTGTGCATAGTATTTTGTTCATTTATGGAACCCTTATTCTGAACAAAGCCTGTTTGTGTAAGGTTGTTATGGCATGACATGAACATAGGTAATCAGAGATTACAGAGCTCACCTCAACGAATGGTGTCTTAAATAAGGCAAAGTCCCACACTAAACTAACAAGCATTCTGAGAGTATTGCATTAGCAATACTAGTCCCCTACCGGCAAGTGTAATCTGGTTCCCGTTAAAAATTGAAAATGCCATAATTCCATCAAAAATCAATGAAGCGGAACGAAATGCAAACTTGATCTATAACACATCAAGATAAAGTCACATACCAAAAATCAGCTCAATATCTGCAAGCGTTTAGAAAAAAAGTGCGGAAAACCCTGAAAAATTGAGAAGGTCGTAATTCGGTCAAAAATCATTGAAGCTTAACGAAATGTATACTTGATCTGTAACTCATCAAGATACACTCACATACCAAAAATCAGCTCAATATCTGCAAGCGTTTAGAAGAAAAGTGCGGAAAACCAAGTGGGACAGACTGACAGACAGACAGAGGGACAGACAGAGGGACAGACAGACAGACAGACGGACGGACAGATGGACGGACAGACTCAGAGGAAGTCTATAGTCCCCTCCGGTTTCACCGGTAGGGGACTAACAAGCATTCTGAGAGTATTACATTAGCAATATTAGTCCCCTTCCGGCAAGTGCAATCTGGTTCCCGCTAAAAATTGAAAATGCCATAATTCAGTCAAAAATCAATGAAGCGGAACGAAATGAAAACTTGATCTATAACTCACCAAGATTAAGTCACATGCAAAAAACCAGCTCAATATCTGCAAGCATTTAGAAAAAAATTGCGGAAAACCCTGAAAAATTGAAAAGGTCGTAATTCCATCAAAAATCACTGAAGTGGAACGAAATGCAAACTTGATCTGTAACTCATCAAGATACACTCACAAACCAAAAATCAGCTCAATATCTGCAAGCGTTTAGAAAAAAAAGTGCGGAAAACCAAGTGGGACAGACAGACGGACGGACGGACTCGGAGGAAACCTATAGTCCCCTCCGGTTTCACTGGTAGGGGACTAATAACCTTGTAGTGTGCATCCCTAGATGAAACATTTATGCAATTTGGGTCTTATAGGGCTTGCAGTTACTTGGGAATGGTCTTATCTAAAAACTTAAAACAAGTCACTCATCCAGAAAATGTAAGTCAAATCCAGTATCTGAAGCAAGTTTTAAAGTGTTCATCCCTTGATGCATCATCCATGCAAGTTTGGTTCAGATAGGCCTTATAGTTACTTGGTAATGGACCTGCTCCAAAAAATTTTAACCTGGTCACTCATCTGAAAATGTAGGTCGGATCCAGCATCCTCAGCAAGTCCAGTAGTGTGCATCATTAGATGTATCATCCACGCAAGTTTGGTCAATATAGGGCTTATAGTTACTTGGAAATGAGACCTGCTTCAAAAACATTAACCTGGTCATTCTTTTGCTAAAATTGCAGCACCTGAAACCTTGACTGGTACAATAAAACGTACTAGAAGCATCCTCCATGCATCTCTGATTAACATAGGGCATACAAATACTTGAAAAGAAATCTGCTCCAAAAACATTAACCTGACACACTGATGCTGCGGGTATTACATAAGCTCCCCCCAACTTCGTAGAGGTGAGCTAAAAATCTTACCCATATCCTATTAAAGCCTGTTTTTGTGGGGTTGTTATGGACTTACCTTGTATAGAACCTGTTGGCATATCCCTCTCCGTCGTAATGACGTGAGCAGAAATCTCTGTTACAGAATCTGGGCCCATGTCAATCATTTGGAACAAAGGTTCTGAGCCCTCAGGTGGGTTCCCTGTGGCACCAGCTTGGGGCACCCCAGCTGTAAAAGTGGGCCCTGTACTTGTCCCTGTGGATTGGGTGCTAGTTCTTTCTGTCTGCAAAACAAAAGAAAGTAATTAACCTGTTGTGATCTTTTAAAATTAATTCCTTACCTGCCTTACAAATCAATTTTGTATGCATTTTTCCAAAACAGACATCATGAATTCAGAGAAAGATAATCATTAGCTATGCTTCAAAAATTCATAAGGACCCTTTTTTAACATTGAGAAAATTATATCATATACATGGAGTTGTTGAACAGAAATCACTGTTGCTTACATAAATGGGAAAGATACATGCTTGGCCTTATAAAATGTTAAGAATGTTTGAACTGATTACAAGTTATGCAATACACTAGAATTTAATTTATGTTATTAGTCCTCTACCGGCGAAACTGGAGGGGACTATAGGTTTCCTCTGAGTCTGTCCCTCTGTCTGTCTGTCCCTCTGTCTGTCTGTCAGTCTGTCCCACTTGGTTTTCCGCACTTTTTTCCTAAACGCTTGCAGATATTGAGCTGATTTTTGGTATGTGAGTGTATCTTGATGAGTTACAGATTAAGTTTGCATTTCGTTCCACTTCATTGATTTTTGATGGAATTACGGCCTTTTCAATTTTTAAGGGTTTTCCGCAATTTTCTTCTAAACGCTTTCAGCTACTGAGCTGATTTTTGGTGTGTGGCTTAACCCTGATTAGTTATATATCAAGTTTGCATTTCATTCCACTTCATTAATTTTTGACAGAATTATGGCATTTTCAATTCCTAACGTGAACCAGATTACACTTGCCAGTAGGGGACTAGTATTGCTAATGCAATACTCTCAGAATGCTTGTTTTAGATCTACATGTAAGAGCAGATTAATGTACATGTAACTGCATAAAAATACTACAGAATCAGAACTCCTTAGTAAGCAGTGTGAAATGGGAAAGGAGAAAATGTATGGCTGGACCGGGAATTGAACCCGGGAACACTGCATCACTAAGTCCGGTCCTCTACCGATTGAGCTACCCAGGCCAATATCCACGGCCCAAACCATTACAAGTGTATAGAATTCCCTTAATAAAACTGACAATTATATTGCCATTACATCAACTTTTCATGGTTCTATTTATGATAGTCAATAACTTTTTGTTTCATCTTTGACTACCTGAGATCCAGCAGCATTTGTGGGTGGTGTAGGGGTGGATGTAGAACTTGATGAGGTGGACACAGTTGACTGAGTTCCAGTATTTCTTCTTCCAGCTCTTGGACTCTGACGAGGAGACTACAAGTCACAAAATGATCACTTTTTCATGATAAAACCAATCTGATTGAGATCATAACCCTCACTGTAAGACTCAATAAATTTAATTGATGATTTAATCACCAGTAAAAACTCTCAAAACTTCAGAGGGTCTTGTAAAACATTATGATAAACAAAATTACTATATAAAAATTCAGACTAAATGTAGAAAACTTACCGCATTGATGTGTACTGGTATAGTTTGCTGATGTATGAGGGTTGTCTGGACAGGAGGGGAGATAAATGCAGCATATAAGTGTCGAGGTCGAGCTTGATTTAGATCTATCATCAAATCACTCAAATTGTGGTAACAGTGACTGATCGCATGAGTTATTTCCCCTACTAAGTTACAAAGCTGGGTATTTTCCTGTACTTCCTGTTGAAAAATCATATGCATTATATTTAACAATAAATACATACAACTGAAATTAAATCATACATACATGTTTCATTTATTTGAAAATTTTAAATGTGTTAATGACTACAATGAGACCACATCTCATGGGCTGCTCCTCATAATTTATTATTTTTAGATAACGTAATTGTTGAATACCTGTTCATATTTAACAATGATATTTTCTTCTAGCTAATGAAACGTAAACTATACTGAAAATTAACTACACTGTGTCTTTACAGTGTGATGAATAAGTACAGTGTAATGTAATCTGATAACTAATTAAAAACAAACCACATTGTTCGATAACATCAACATGTGAAACACAATTTCTCTGGTGACAGCCAAATTTTTAGAGTATAAAAGTCAAACTTTCAGCTAGAGAACAATAAACTTCTAAAAGGAGATTCTAAAAACAATGGGTCTGAACCTGTTCTGACAATTCAGGATCATCCAGCAGAAGTCGTTGATACTGTTCAAGGAAGGGTTGGAATCGCCGATTTATTTCATGAACTTCATTCAGTACCTCTCCCAAAGCTGATATACGAGGGCGACTGAAAAAAATTGTATATCAAAGTCATATCTGACCTAAGCTGATATATGAGGGTGACTGAAAAAAATTGTATATCAAAGTCATATCTGACCTAAGCTGATATATGAGGGCGACTGAAAAAAATTGTATATCAAAGTCATATCTGACCTAAGCTGATATATGAGGGCGACTGAAAAAAATTGTATATCAAAGTCATATCTGACCTAAGCTGATATATGAGGGCGACTGAAAAAAATTGTATATCAAAGTCATATCTGACCTAAGCTGATATATGAGGGCGACTGAAAAAAATTGTATATCAAAGTCATATCTGACCTAAGCTGATATATGAGGGCGACTGAAAAGAAAAATAGCATATCAAAGTAATATCTGACAAGTCATTATATACATATGTACAAAACAGTGTTGATATACAATGGTGACTGAAAGAATTCCTTAATATCAAAATAATAATGGACAAGTAGTTGTAAACGTATAGTCAATTCTCGATAAACTGCCACTTTTGTAATTTAGAAATCATGGTGGTATAATGAAATTGGCAATGAGTTGAATTTCCCTTCTTTGGGGAAACAAGAAATAGAATTGCCATTCTTGGAAATAAAACATTTAGCGTTTATATTCATTATAACAATTGCATTACATAAAAACTCACTTCAAAATTTGAAAATGCTTCAAATAGTTTTTTTAGGCACAATAATTTTGTTTTAAAATAAAATACGTGATTCAAAAATAAATACATGTACATGCACGTAAATCTGATCATCTGATACTAAAAAAAACCAAACAAACAAAAAACAAAAACCAAACCTGCCGTGTCAAATGTCGTGAAGTTCTTGTTTAAAAATTATTGAATATTTAATTCTAATTACTATGTCTATTCAATTCTTTAATCACTTTGTCTGTCTTTTTTACAGTGATCTGTAGGTAGTGACAACCAATTAGCCATGCTTCACTGACCACATGCACCTGCAGCGTTATATAAAGATAATGGACACTTTAAAATGGACGTTCGTTGTGAAAACAGGGTAGTGGATGGCGGTATGTGAATTTGGCATTATAAAGAGACTTTTATATAGCAGGAAAAACATTCCTGAAATATCATGGCATTATTGCAAGTATGGCGATGAATCGAATGGCAATATTTCGAGAATTAACTCTATATACAGAAGATTTACATGTATATGATTAAAATATGTGGAAGATTGGTTTGTATACCACTTGAGAAAATGTATATGTAGGTATAACACATACCGATACACTCTGTTTTAGAGGAGTATGCACTGAACAGAACATCATACAATTTATAAGAAAATTTAGCTAAAAACCACGAAAGGCAGAAGGGTAACTAATCTGTACAATGTCTTTCAAAATCATATATCTACCGGCATACAAAATGGGCATATAGACATATATAACTTAATGTAACTTTCTCAGGTAAGATTAAGAAAGAGAAAATTAAAGATCCTTACACCATCCTGGGTTGTTCTGGTGTGGCTCCACTTTGAGAGGATCCCGTCCCCTCCTGACTTGACTGTTGTGATTGGCTGTTGTTTTGATTTGCTTGTGGCTGTGATTGGCTGGATGACTGTGATTCTTCACTTTCCATGGCAACATCATTATTCTCTTCAGTTGATTGCTGGGGTGGATCTGGTCTCTGTGGTGTGGCATTAGAGCCATTTGATGCCGATGATTCTGAAGCATCTGTTCTTTCACTTCCTCTCTGACGATTCTGGTCAACAAAAACCAGAAAGTTGAACATTAAGATATGTTCTAAAATATAATCTTGATTACAGAATATTTACAGCTCTAAAAGGGTGGTCATTAGTAAAATAATTAAACTTTTTAACATTACATTTCAATAAAGCTTTTGCATTTGAGGATAGATGATATTGTTCATCAAATATCATGAAAATAAAAACTAAACCAAGTTTATCATTATAAGTAAAATATCCAATAGAATATCCTAGAAAGTGATTAAAAATTTTAAATTTATCAGGGTGACAGCAAAAAGGTAGAATTTTAAAAATCATAGAAAGTTTAAAATTTCTTAACATTTTAATATTTTCGTGGATGAACATTTTTGGGTAGTTATGTATATAATATTTTACATTTTGTGGTGGAAATTAATTCATGGGTGTCTTTATACCTCGTAAAACAATGAAAATTACCCCCCCCCCCCCCCCCCAATTTACTGATTCCACAGTATCCAGGCATTCATTTTTTGTGTCATCTGTCAATATTCTGAAGTTTCTTTCTTCTATGTGATGTACTCCTACCTCCAGTGTTTGCAGATTTTCTTGAGCTATTCGTAACATCTGTCTGGCATGGTTAATCCTTTGCTGTGATTCACTCTCTACCTGACCTTGACCTTGACCCAAATGTATATGTACATCTACTGATGATCCATCATTCTGCAATAATAATGAAAAAAAAATCAATGACGACTCTTAAAACTGCCATTTTTATATACATCATATATTAATTTAAGGCAAAATCTTATTATAAAAAAGAGAACATACAAAGCTTTTGAAGTTAATAAAATATTACACTTTAAAAATTACATTTACACCACCTGGTATATAGACAATTGTTTTGAAATTGAACAAGTCTTAATAATTTAGAGATCTTCTAATAGCCTTAACAACTCAGAGATTTCCTATTTAAATAACTCACTGATGTTCTGGTAGACACTCTGGCATTTCTTCCCATATCCCCCATTCCACTGATGGCATCTTGTACAATGTTCTGTAGACCAATTATTGTTACAAATGTTAACTAGTGTCAAATATGAACACTTCCATATACACAAAACAAAAACTGGACAAATGCAAATAATTAAAAACTTGATAAATACAATTACACGGCATAGTTAAATAGCAATAAAAGCATTTAATGGTGCTTATTTAAGATTTTTGTTTTCCAAAAGGTAATAACTTCAAGACTGTAAAATGTTACATTCAGGTACTAACAAATTTAAGATGTCTTAATAAGAATGTAATTTGTACAAAAAATCCAAGACTCCTAAATACAAATGCAACAAAAAATTAAGTCATGAACAAGAAATGAAAAAATGTGGACCAAACATAACAATTACTTGCCAAGACTATTGGTAAATAAGCCTACAATCATAATCAAATAAACACAATGAATTTTGTCAATTTCTACAAAGGTTTGGTTACAAAAGTAAACAAAACTTTTTTCTCCTATACAGAACATGGTTTTTTAAATATAATCAATACATACTTGGATTTCATCTGTGTCCACTGCATCAGAGGGGACAGACACTGATCCAATGACAAAACTGTTCAGATCTCTACCCCCAGGAGGCCGGTGGGAGGATGTCGCACCTCCAGGTGATGAACTTGGGGGTCTAGAACTTGGTGGCATTCTGTGAACAACGTGTATCACTTTTCCATGTACATCTAACAGGAAAAAAAAATACATTTCATCAATAGCCAGCTTTTCACATCTTCAAAATGCCATATCTGGCTGTTTTAACCAACACATACACATTCTGACTAATTTTTTGAGAATATTTAACCCACCCCCTCCAATATTCCAGACTGAAATGCCAAAAGGTAGCTTAGAAAATTTAATAGAAAATCATAGCTGCTAGAAAGGATCTCTAATTAACATATTTCACATCTCCTTAACACTTTGGTTCCCTTATAATACATCTAAACATTTTCATTTTTGACACAAATACATTATTACATTGTGCTATATGTAGATACTAAAACTTATTTGAACTTGAGCTTACTGTAGTCTTTCAAAAGCTTTTCATCTTGCATAACCCTTCCTTGGAAAATCAACCTTTGTGTGTCTGCAGAAATATTCTGAAAAAAAATGGATAGTAAAGAACTTAATCTCTTTTCTATTCAATACATATACACTTTTTCAAAATGATGCACCATAATTAAACAACAGACACTGTGCACCTAGAGTGCTCACAAACTAGGAAAGGGGAACACTTGTTACTTTGTTATTGTACCGGGTTGTAAAAAGGGTGCTTGAGTTTTAACAAACTGAAGTATACATTAAACAAGAGGCCAATGGGCCACAACATTCACCTGACTCAATATGGCCCAGCTGTTCTTCATTAGCAGAATTTCTGTATATATTCCTTTGTAAAACTTTGATCCCTATTGTAACCCCACACTACCCCCAGGTGTCATGATTTTTATAGATGTAGCCCCACCCTATCCCTCAGGGTCATAATTTGAACAAAGTTGAATCTATACTACCTCAAGATACTTCTATATCAATGTGACTAATCATAGCTTTGCTGTTCTTGAAAAAAAGATTTAGAGAATTTTTTCCCATACATCCATCTGCTAATCTCTGATAGTGCATTGTGGTCCCACCCTACCCCAGGGGGTTATGATTTGAACAAACTTGAATCTACACTACCCGAGGATGATTCCATATCAATATGATTAAACATGGCTATGCTGTTCTTGAGAAGAAAATTTTTGAAGATTTTTTCCTATATATTCCTATGTAAAACTTTGATCCCCCATTGTGGCCCCACCCTATCCCCGGAGGTCATGATTTGAACAAACTTGAATCCACAGTACCTGATGTTGCTTCCATGTAATTATGACTTATTACATTTTGCTTTTCTACAGAAGAAGATTGTTCCTATATATTCCTATGTAAAAATTTGAAGCCCCATTGTGATTTCAACAAACTTGAATCTACACTATGTAAAGAAGGTTTCAAAGAAGTTTCAACTTTTTGGCCCAGTAGTTCTTGAAAAGAATTTTTTTTTAATGCTTTATTTTGAAGCCTTTTTTCATACCTATATATACAAACACATACCACACAATTTACACCCACTCACCATCACACTTACACACACTCGCACAGTGCACTTTCTAAAATAAAATAATATACACAAATGTAGACATATGACAGTTAATCATGCAATTTATCAAAAAAAAAAAAAAAAAAAAAAGGATATACCAAAAGGTGAAGATATAAAAACCAAAAAAAAAAACAGAACAAAAACATTTTTGATCACTTGTTGTATACATTATCATACAGGGCCCATTTACTAATTATTTTGTCCTTACATTGAAAAGAAGATTTTTAAAAGATGCCACCAAATTTTCACTAATTCTTCATTATCTCCCCCTGACAGAAACTGAACAAAACTGAATCCCCTTCACCTAAGGATGCTTTGTGGCAAGTTTGGTTGAAATTGGCCAAGTGGTTCTGGAGAAGAAGTTGAAAATGTGAAAAGTTTACAGACAGACAATGGACAAAATGTGATCAGAAGAGCTCACTTGAGCTTTTAGCTCAGGTTAGCTAAAAAAATATTATTTATCAGAAACAGGCATGCTTTACTTACAATTGAGTCAGCTATTTTCTCTTTAAACTGGCGTACAGTCATCTTTTTGAAAAACCAACAGAAATATGTATTTCAGATGCAATAAACAAGTACATGTATTACGATATGAAATTTGACAAATCTGTACCACACACCACATAATTCTTTTGCAGTAGAACTCAAAATACAAAAATACCTTGACCTCAAAAACTAGTTTGAAACTGAAGTTCATTGAAGTTTCAATGAAGTATATTTTTTCCAAACTTTCTGGTTTCAAATCAACCCTCAAATTACCTAGTACTTAGTATATTGAATCAGCAACAAACTCTAAGTCTATGGGAAATTAACATTATTTAATACTTTAGAAACATATCTATCATTATTCATGATTTTTAATCATGTGATGTTGCACATGTTCAGAATCAAGTTGGAAATCACAATCTGATGATCTTTGGAAATAACAATGACTCCTTTTTACAGCTGAAATTAACCTTGCTAATTTGAAAAGGCTTTTAAAAGTTGTGCTATATGGTTGTATGTATCCAATCAGATTACAAATGGTTTGGTGATGGTAAAACTTTAATGATTATATCAACATTTTCCTTCAAAACAAAATAAGGTAGAAATGCTCATGTGGAACAGACTATAAATAATATGAAAATTCTCGTCAGATCATTTTCAGCAGTCACTTACCTCTTCTTCGACACTGAAACTCTTATTCTGAGAGTCCAGAGTTTTCACTGTTACATCTATCATTTTTATTTATTATTCTACAATTGAAAAAAAATATGCAACAGAAAAGCTTTCACAAGACATTCATTGAACCTTTTAGCAATCAAATTCCTCCAACTCTTATCCTAGCCATATGGACATTTGCAGGAGAGAGTCAGAGCAAATATCATACTGAAAACATAGTATTTCCTTGTACCATCAGCTGCACATTTGTAACGTTTTCGGGTATAGCTGTTGTTTTTGAATATTCTTTTACCCGCTTGATGGGTTACGTTACAAATATTGTTTGTGGGTCTCTTATTTCTGAAATTTACCCAATAAAGAAGGATTGCAAGTTTTCTATAAATTTATTAGAATAAAATTAAAATAATTAAACAATCATAAATTTATTATAATATGGGCAAATATAAACTCAATAATACCTAAGAACTTTGTTATGGGTATTTTACCCAATGAAACTTTACCCAATGAAACTGATGAGGACCCAAAAGTACTGGGTATGAAATGGCATCAGACTTACCCAACCTTAAATGGGTAGCACAAAATGTAATAATGGGATGATTACCATTCTGATGGGCTCTTGTGGCTCCATACCAGGTGAGCAGCTAAACACTACTGCCGTTTGGCCGTTTGTTCGTCTGTTTTATACCTTTCAGTTGGTAAGTGCGAATTATACCACGCGCAAAACGTACGGTACCGCACGGATTGGCGCCATGTTTGAGTTGCAGTACACAAAGTTTATGCTCGAACAAAAAGTAGTGATTAGGAGTAATTATAAGGTTGTGCATACATCATATGTTGAAATAAAGTCAAAGAATGATGCCTTGGTAACATTAAGGTGAGTCTGTTTCAGGATCTTCTCCGTTTATAGTACGGATGATTGTACACGGGTTCGTTTCATCGAGGAAATTCGGGATTGTATTATAAAAGTATAGTAAATGATAAATATAAGTTAACATATAGACACTACAATATCATGGTATCATTCCCATGACATCTAAGACATATGAATAAAATAATTCATTTATATATTATTAAAGAACAGAGATAAGAGGCCACATGTGTAACACAGCCCTCCTTCTTCTGTAACATTCGTCCCGAATGTCGTGCAGGTAAGAACTCGCATAAAGTAATGTGACTTGTTTCTATGGGATAATCTCCATTTAAAGAAAACACAGTCTTTTTTTTTTTTTTTGAGTTCAACTACAACATTTTATGGGATAACATACAATGAAAAACATTTTACAACAATAGAATAACTTTTAAACAATAACATTCAAGCAATAATAGTTATACATACAAAGAAAACATGGTGATATAGCATCTATAGATTCTAATATAAAAGCTTATACATTAAATCACATCATTCACTGAGTCTTTAGAATGTCCACATATTTGTAGGTCAATCACTGAAGTGGGGCAAACTTCAACAGTGGTTCCAAGTATTTTGCAAGGTTGTCTAGTTCATAGAAGGTACACTCTTGGTAAAGTTCCTTTATGGACTGTAAACTAGTGGGAAGGACAATGTCAGACACACGACATCCATTCCTAAGGAAATCCAGGATAATGAGAAAGTGTTTAGGATTCCGGTCAATGAAGAATGGTCCTGAAATCTTTGATGAGAGGGCGGCCAGTAGCGAAGAAGGATCCTCTTGTAGAGTAGATTTTGTGGTGGTGAATATAGTGCCTCCGACATTCAAAGTGATAATTTCATTCTGTCTAGCAATTATATCCTTGATTTTGAGTTCCTGTTTACTGGTAGGTTGGTATGGCACAGCCGTGGTTTCCGGAATTGTGTACTCCTGTGGTGGGTCGATAACGCCATCAGTGAGGATTGAAATTTGGTCTTGTTTTTTTTAAACAATAGTGTCTTTGTCATATGCTGAGTTATGGTTGGAGCTTGTGGACGAGGAGTCTGAATCTGAAGACAGTGAAAGGTCTTTGTCAAGGCTGGTTGAATATGGACTGACTTTAGTGGAAGTTGCTGAAGTTGTGATTAATGAAGTTGAAACTTTAGTTAGAGTTGAGCTGGTGAACGATGTGGAAGTGGAGGAACTTGAAGTAGTACTGGTTGGTTCTGTAACTGGGGGGCATGCATCACCAGCAGTGGAACAGAGGGAAATATCCATGAGGGACGGTAATTTAGGTAACGGTCTGTTGGGGGGTTGGCCATAATGCTTCCTCTTCTTGGGAACTAAAGGCTCTGTGAATTTCGCCTTTCTTTTAGAGGGGGCCAGGTTTGTGTTCCCAAGGTTGGATCTGGCAGGCCTCTGTACAGGTTGGCAGAACTTGGACCTGTTCCTTTGAAATGTTTGAAATTCCAGCGCCTCATCACCTGTGAACGTTCCAGTGGCTCTCTTTGTGATTTGGAAGGTATACCCAGAACAACCATGCTTCTGATCCGTTCTGGAAAAGATGAGTCCGCAAGAGGAACATTTGTGTCCAAATCCTGAATGAGTGGCAGTAATGTGTCTCTCACAGTGATTTGGTAGTGCAAATTCCTTATCGCAAATGGTGCATGCATATCTCTGGATCTGTAATTTAAAAGAAGGACTCAAACTAAGTAGATGTAAAAATGAATTGAGGAGGGGGTCAAAGATAATATGGGATCCAATCATCACTTAGGCAGTAAAAGGTGGGTTATCTCCCTTATATGGTTTTAATAAGTTGTGATGGACAATTTTGGGCTTATGTTTTAGAGTCTTTCTGATCTTATAAATAACATCATTCACTCTTTCCATGATAAGGTAAGGCCCTGTCCATGGTCTACATAACTTTTTACCATGTCTTTCATATTTTGGGGAGTAAAACCAAATGGCATCACCTTCTTGGTATAAGTGTTGGTGAACCTTTTTACTATATTCCCTAATCATATGTTTTGTTGATAATTGGATTTGGTTGCGGGCATGGTCATGAATAACTTCTAGTTTGTTTGCCAATTGATTTGCAAATTCAGATCCATATTTATGCTTATGTATTTCAGGGTCTGGAATGCCAAGCACTAGATCAACAGGTAGATGGATTGGTCTACCAAAGATCATTTCGTTTGGGCTAACTCCTGTAGATTCATGGATAGATGACCTGTATGCCATCATAAGTAAGGGTATGTATTCATCCCAATCTTGTTGGGTATTGTTTACAAAAGCAGAGAGCATATTCTCTATAGTGCGATTTGCTCTCTCAATCATGCCATCTGACTGTGGCCTATATGGGGTAGTACGGGTTTTAACTATACCGAGTATATCGCAGATTTCTTGGAATAACCCTGACTCAAAGGATCTACCTTGGTCGGAATGAATTTCCATGGGTACACCAAATACTGAGATAACTCTTTCGATAAGTATTTTAGCTATAGTGTGGGCTTTTTGATTTTTGATGGGGAAAGCATCCACCCATTTAGTAAAATAGTCGCCCACTACAAGAAGGTAGGAATTCTTTTTCTTAGTAAGAGGAAGTGGACCCATAATATCTATGGCCAATCTTTCCATGGGTGCTCCCACTACATATTTTTGTAGGGGTGCTTTGGGTAATTTATAGGGGGGCTTTCTTGATTCACAAATATCACATTTTCTACAGAGGGTTTTAATATCTTCAGACATATGATGCCAGAAATATCGGTCTCTGATTTTAGACAGAGTTTTACGGACACCCAGATGGCCACCAGTAACACTATCATGTAACTGTTGGAAGACTAAGTTTTTCAGGGATTGGGGTAGGATTATTTGATATTTTGGTTGGACATCTTCCCAGATATGATAGAGTATACCATGTAAGAATTTTAGGGAATCATATCTAACCCAATAATATTTATGGGTTTCACTAAGATTTGATATTTCTTCCCACTTGGGTCTTTCATTGGATTTTACCCATTCTATAATGGTTTTGAGGATGGGGTCTTGACTTTGTGACTCTTTAATATTAATGATTTCTTGGGGATTGGGATTATGTTCAAGATGGATACTTTGGGTGGCATTTTGGGATCTGGTTGTCACAGTAGAACAAGAAAGAGAGTTGAATTCGGGCTCATATTTTTCTTCTGCTTTGTTACAGTGTTTGCAGTTATCAGGACAAGGTCTTCGGGAGAGGGCATCAGCATTGCTGTGAGATCTACCAGCTCTATGTTCTATTTTGAATTCATACTGGGACAGAAATTCAAACCAGCGGGCAATTTGGCCTTCAGGGTTTTTAAAGTTTAGGAGCCAGGTAAGTGAACCGTGGTCAGTCCTAACTTTGAAAGGTCTGCCATACAAATAATGGTGAAAATTTTTAATGGATTTTACTATAGCTAAAAGTTCTCTGCGAGTGACACAGTATCTTCTTTCAGTAGCACTGAATGCCTTACTGTAATAGCAGATAACTTTTTCTATACCATTTTGTTCTTGAGAAAGTACTGCGCCTAATCCACTATTGGAAGCGTCAGTATCAAGGATAAATAATCCTTCATTGTTAGGGTAGGACAGGATTGGGGAACTTGTTAGGGCTCTTTTGAGCTTGTCAAAAGCTTCCTGACAGTTTTCGTCCCAACGGAACTCTTGTTTTGATTCTGTAAGTTTATGGAGGGGCCTGGCAATATCTGCAAACTTGTAAACAAATTTCCTATAATAGGAACATAACCCAAGAAAACTTCTAATATCTTTAACTGATGATGGGGTTGGCCAATTTTGAACAGATCCAATTTTGGATGGGTCTGTGGAAATTCCTTCTTTATTCACAATGTGTCCCAGAAATGAAACTTGTTCCTGTAGTAGGCAGCATTTTTTGGGGTTCATTTTAAGATTTGCTGATCTTAACCTACCGAAAACTTGTTTCAAATTTGTGATATGTTCATCAAAGGTTTTAGAGAGTATGATAATATCGTCTAAATAAACCATACATATTTTCCAGGACAAGTTGGAGAGGACTTTTTCCATCAGTCTTTCAAAAGTGGCGCCTGCATTACACAGACCAAAGGGCATATTTAGAAATTGCCAGTGACCCCCACCAGGTATGGAAAATGCTGTTTTGGGTTTGTCTTCAGGAGACATCTTAACTTGCCAAT